AAGAGAGCAAACTAGGGATTGCTGCAAACTAAAAGCAGATGCTGCTGATCTTCACCAAATGGCAGAAAAAAGAAAGGAGGGGGTATCATTAAATTGCCAAGGCTCACCATGTTTGCCATTATGCCTGATATAAGACAATATATCAGATATTCTAGAGACAGTGCTTATAATGTAGCGGGAAAGCATTCCACCTCTTATCTGGATCTATAACCAGACCATCTCTTTTTTCCTTCTACTTTGGGTACTGTCCTGAGCAGCAGTAGGAAATATATAGACTTCCAAATGCTGTTGGACTGTAATTCCCATCAGCCTTAAACAACACAGCCGGTAGTAACAGATGAAGGAAGCTAGAGTCCAACTATATATGGGGGACCATATGCTCATCACCCAGGCCTAGAAAACCTAGATTCTGGCCCCTCAAAATTGATCCTGTAGCTTTGTTCTGTATGCTGAAGGCAAGCGGCATAACGTTATCACTTCTAGCTGTCACTAAATACAGTAAGTCCCCACTGGGATTCCTGGGGGATGTGTCTGACTGTGGGTCGGCATGTGCCTATGAATCCCAATGGGGACTTTGTTAATTGACAGGCAGAAGTGACTGAATGTTACAGCATTTGCCTTCTGTACACAAAACAAACCAACAAGACTTCAGCTAATAAATAACAAATTACTAGCTCAAATTAGGATTATTCCATTTATGTTTTGAGGTTCATTTAGTTAATTGTTCAGGACAAATCACTTCTCTGTCTTCTTCCATACATCCTAAACACAATAAGCACAAACTTTTCAACTCAAATGCATTTCAGTTTTTAAAAATAAAAAGGCCAGTAGAAGTAGATACTTTCCAAGAAGAAGCTGATACAGAGTGGCACACAGCCATTCTGCTGGTTGCCTTTAGTAAGACTTCTTTCCAGTTGTCTGGTAGTAATTGCATGGTTGCACTTACAGTGGTGCCTCACTTGACGACATTAATTCGTTCCAGCAAAATCGCTGTAGAGCGAAATTGTTGTCAAACAAAATAAAAACCGGTTAATGCGTTCCAATGGGTGAAATACCTAATCGTCCAGCGAAAATCCTCCATAGGGCGGCCATATTCCGGTGCCTGTACAGCAAAAAATCAGTCCTAAAAACAGTGGGGGCCATTTTGCACAGTGGCGGCCATTTTGAAACCCGACGATCAGCTGTTGGAAAATCGTCGTAAAGCGAAAAATCGGCTCCCAAAGCAGGGAACCGATCGTCGCTAAGTGAAAAAACCCGTTTCAAACATCGTTTTGTGATCGCAAAAGCGATCGCAAAAGCATCGTCGTGAAGCGGATTTGTCGTTATACGGGGTAACCGTTAAGCGGGGCACCACTGTATTATAGTTATAGCCCTAAATCTAGACATGTGTTACTAGCTGTCTGCTACCATAACTGAACTTTCTTCCCTGCCTCTTGTTTCTGCTTTGCCCAGAAATCTGAAGTGTTTCTCAGACATATGGAGCGCAGAGGACTGCAGAGGAATGGGGGTACTGCAATACTTCCAGCAGAATAAGAATATGAGATTTGGCCATAATCTGCTTTTTGCACAACTCTGCCAGAGAGCACCAACTCAGAGGAGTGATCAGCTCCATCCAAGCTTAAACTTTAGCAGCTAGCATCAGATGCTTCCACAAAAGTTATGTGATTTCAGCAGTGAACCTTTGGAAGAATGTTTTCTCCTGCTGTCTCCTATGAATAACAGCCTACAGAATCAAGGAAAGTAGACAACTGAAACTCTTTGAGAGGGCATAGCGTTTGCTGACTTATTTATCTTATCTTCTTTATCTGTGGCCTAGGTTCAGGAATCATTTAATAGGACCTCACTGCAAGCTTGGCTTTCTTGTTCAACATTGTTGCAGAAATCACCTTTGAAATGACTACAAAAAATTAGCTGAGTGAAAGGCAGGCAAAGGACTGAGTTTAGGCAGACAAACGTTTCCTTACCATCACTGTATAGTCAATCTGAGGCGCCATCTCTGCATTGGTGCCGCCTTTCAAGTGCAGTTCTGATGGCGATGCTGCAAACAGGACACAGGGCATAGCTACTTGCATCAGTAAGCAAACGCTCCTGCAATGGAAACAGGACACAGGCAGAAGAGCCTCACTGTTGCTCCTTTTTTTCATATTCTACCTCTCCTCAAGGGGCTAAATGGCTTTCCCTGAAAACAATTTTATTCTGTATAACACACGTCATGTGGATCGCATCAACTTTCTGAATGTCGTTAAGCGGCTCAATACAAGTGGCTGGGATGTGCGCTAGCCCCACCCCTCCATCTTTAGTTCCATCACCCTTCTGCACGTGGAGGGTAAGAATCCGAAGCGGAGAGATCTGCTATTTTTGGAAGCTCCACACATGAGGAAAAGAGTATCCCATCATTCTCTATTTAAATGTGTTCACCATACTTCGAAGGCAGCACCTGCTTCTCTATCTTTTTGTACACATGGAAAGTAATGTCTGCACAGGTTCCTGTTTAGGTACAGAGGTACACATGAGAAGGATCATCTCCTCTGCAGACCTGTTTTCCACATGTAGAAAACAACAATGCACAGCAGAGGGATGAGCCAAAACGCTGTACAGCAGCCAAAACTGTGCTCACGACCTGGGGTTCAATCCCAGGTAGCCGGCTCAAGGTTGACTCAGTCTTCTATCCTTCCGAGGTCGGTAAAATGAGTACCCAGCTCACTGGGGGGGCAATGTGTAGCCTGCAGAATTAACTTGTCAACCGCCCAGAGAGTGCTTGATGCACTATGGGGCGGTATATAAGCAGCACGCTTTTCTTTTTTTTTCTTTCTTTCTAAGTGTGCTGAGAGTACCTGTGTATTATTTTATATGCCGCATTTCTCCCAACAAGGGAATATAATTTAGAATCCTTAGCCTTCAGGATATTACACTACACAGAAAATGGCAATATTTATTTATTTATTATATTTATAGCCCGTCCATCTAGTCATGCCGACTACCCTGGGTGGTTAACAACATATCATATACAGTGGTGCCTTCATAGATGATTACCTCGCAAAACGGTTAATCTGCAAGACAATGGGTTTTTGCAATTGCTATAGCGCTTCGCAAAACGGTTTTCCCTATGGGTGATTTTCACTGGATGATGTTTCGGTCCGTGCTTTGCAGACCTAGCTGTCAAAATCGCTGTCTGTGAAAAACCATTTTTTGCAAGACGATGATTTTTGACAGCTAGGTCCGCGCTTCGCAAAACGTTTTTTTTAGGGACGGTTTTTCGCAGACAGCGATTTTGACAGCTAGGTCTGTGCTTTGCAAAACGGTTTCTCTATGGGCAATTTTCGCAAGACGACAATTTTATTCCCATTGGAACGCATTAAATTGATTTCAGTGCATTCCAATGGGGAACTGCATTTCGCAAGACAATGTTTTCACAAGACAGCGATTTTCACAGAACAAATTAACATCGTCTTACGAGGCACCACTGTAGCAAATACAGTTTAAATATACATTTTTTTTGCCAATAACGTATGGGGGAAAGTATAAAATAAATGACAATTCAACTAATTAAATCTGTATTTGTTTTAATTTTTCATCAGCTAAGAAAATAAATGCACCACAACCAAAATAAATCATCAAACTACCATGCCATTTGTATTCACAAATGACATGGCCAGAGTTATACAGTCATGGTTTATTTTTATTTTTCTGTACTAGTTTGTAAATTTAGGTTCTGGCAATTTCAGGTGACCACAAGGATTCTGATGTAGCTCAGTGATTTTTGCAGGGCACAGATCTGCTATGGTCACTTGCACCTTCTGAATACTCATTATGAAAATCTTTACCTTAAACCAAATGATATTCTTGTAGTTATTTACCTAACACACCTGGTTTTAAAGAGTTTAATGACCTATATATTGAAATCCCTGTTGAGCAAGATTGCAATCATTCCTTTTTAAGTAAAAAGAGGAACTGAAGTTGATGCATCTTCAAATGGAACTTCAATCCATATCTTCCAGATCCAATTTTTACCCAGCAGCCCACACAAGGCAGAGATGCTGCTTGCAAAATAATTATGCTGAACAGCCACACAGGTAGACCCAGAGTATTTGTTTACTGAAGAAACCAATTATCAAAGCATGGATAACTTCAGAATGTCAATTGCATGTATTCACAGTTTGTGAGGCTTGACTGCCCCAGCAGTAAATCTTATTTTTGTTTTAATCACTCTGCAATAATGTATATTTTCTCTAGAATAGGATAGAGAGGATCTTTGGGCTTCCAAATGTTTCAGGCTACAATTCCAACCAATCTTTATCATTGGGTGTGCTCTACTGGGTGGTAGAAGCTATAGGTCCAAAAATATGGAGGACTAAAGCTTCCCCAACGTCCCTCTAGGACTCTGAAAATTGCTGTCAGAGCAATAGCAATGACAATGGCACAGAAACATACCCAGCTGTTTTGGTGTCTGCAACGTGGATTCCACCTTTGATCTTTCCAGGTTTGAAAGTGATTTCCGTAGACCCAATTTCTCCTCCTTCCAGGTGCCCATCACACAAATCTCGGACCATTTCCAGTCCCGACAGGTGCTGAGGCCTTCAAGCAAGGAGTACCAAATTAGTATATAAGCTTACTTTTATTGATCTAATCTATATATAGATTATATAATTTGAATGTCCAACATGGAAGAGACAGGGATCGCAGCACATAGATGTTATTCATTTATCTGTAATGCTTCATAACACTTGTTGTACTATCATGGACACTGAGCAGAAAAGGCTTAAACAGAACTGAACTCAAATCTATTATAAATGACGCGACACCCCAGAGAGGCAGCGAATAATGCCACCATTTCTGCTGATATCACACACAAGAAATGATAAACCTGTGTCTAGACGATATCACTTCTCATTGAAAACTGACATTGCCATGACTGACTGTTCTTCCACAAAGCAAATTCCAAAGTATGACAGAAAGAAGCCTGTCTTGGAAATCTCCTCCCAAACGCCAGGTTTTGCAGACAGGAGACATATTTCTTTTATGGAAGAGCATTCAAAAACATGACTTGCCACCCGTGGTCTGAAGTGGCATAGCCCAAACATAGGATCATCACCCGAGTACAATCTAGGCTTTATCAATATAGTTAGTTATTTAAGCACTAACCTAGCAGCCAGAGACAATTAGGAAAGGCACGGAATTCCATGTAGACTAGCTAAATGGAGGGGAGAAAAGGAAGTATTCAGTCTACATGAAGCCTCTAGTTCAAACTCTAGGAACCCCTCACTCACTCCATTGCTTCAAGGTGAACCCCTGCCCCCGCACTCTCTCTCACACACACACACCTCGGGTTGGTACTCGCTCACCTGCTTCTCTGTGCCTAAAGCAAAACCCAAGCAGGCTGCTGGAGGGAGGAGCTTCCTCCACATTCAGCACCAAAAATGTAGTTCTCTAGTTGTCTTCCCCCAGACCCTAATGGGCTAGTAAGTGTTTATGCACCCTGGTATCTTTTGTGTGTGCTCATCTGTAAGATTAGTGCAGACATGTGTCATAATTTCTGTTACCCTTTCTTCTAAGGTTACTTTCACCTGTCCTCCCCACCACCACCATCACACATTGCAATTCCAAAGAAACCGCTGTCACAACAATTCCCCAGATTTTACCTGAGGCCAGGCTGACTTCTGCCAGCTCGAATATTTTTCACACACAAAGGTGTATGGAGGAGGCAGCTCAGGGCTGTGGACACACGCAGGATCTGACCACCCTGTAAGGAATATACACTGTTAAACACTGATGGCATCAGGCCTTCCTAACAACAGAGTAGGCTGGTAAACAAAAATTCCTTCAGACACATGAAAAATATTTTATTCTCTTCATTCAGTAGCTACTTCTTAATGAATGAGTAAAGGTTTTAGGGCAGATAATATGAGAGCCGGTGTCAGACTGCAATTCAGGAGGAAAGGGTGCCCCATTGAATCGTGTTGGAAATCCTTGGGTAGTCAGTTTCTCTTAGCTTGAGCTATTTCATGCACTTGTGAAGGGGGAAAAGTGAATAGGAAGAGAGTCAGGTTCACTACCTGTAACTCAATGGAGGAAAAGTGGAATATAAATATAAGGAATGGCAGTAATATTCATATAGTTTCCAGATACCCTGAACTATTATTGGGGTAAATTAAGCGTCACTATTAATTTCCACATTCCAGTCTCAAGTCTCTGAAGCCAAAGGCAGATTTATGGTGCGCTGGAGAAATTAGTTTTCCAGAAATTGCAAGCTTCTATAGTTTCAGTGGTTTAGGCATCTGGTTGTGCAGCCAGAAGTTGGGAGTTCTATTCACCCTGCTGTGTCTCTTGGCCTGTGTGGCCTTGGGAAAGCTGCACAGTCAGAGCTGACCCCCAAAAGAAGGGAACAGAAAACCACTTCTGTGTATTGTCTACCTAGAAAACTTTGGCAAGGGTTGCCATTGATAGTGTGATGTTTCTCGTAGAAACAGCTTCAGAATCATCTAGGGAGTAGACATGTGAGCCAAGAAATTTCATCTCTTCCAGGCGTAACATCCACTCACAGTCCCCCATAAAATGCTCCTTTAATTTTGTAATAGAAATCCTGGTACATAATTAAGTATTATGATTATCCGGGGAATTGTAATTCAGCAGAGGACTGCAACCTTGCATTGCTTTTGATGTGGTTTCCCCTTGCAATGATCAGAAACATGTCCTCCCAGAAATGCAGGCCCCAAGGCTGCAATATACGTCTCCAGCAAGTCAATAGGCCTTAACGTCTGAACAGACTTGTAGAGAACATGGAAAGAGGACCGCAAAGTATTATGATTATCCGGGGAATTGTAATTCAGCAGAGGACTGCAACCTTGCATTGCTTTTGATGTGGTTTCCCCTTGCAATGATCAGAAACATGTCCTCCCAGAAATGCAGGCCCCAAGGCTGCAATATACGTCTCCAGCAAGTCAATAGGCCTTAACGTCTGAACAGACTTGTAGAGAACATGGAAAGAGGACCGCAAAGGCTATTATTTATATTCTTACCGCTGAGGAACCCAATCCAAAGAGGCAACATTCAACCAAGGGTCTCTCCCTTGGCGATCTACCCCAGGGGCCTCCCCCCGTGCCACGCTCACCCCAAAACCCCACCAGCCGCCCGGCCATTCATTCAGACCCACCGCCTGCCCGCTCGATGGTCCTTCCAGGGCCACCCAGGCTGCCCCTCCGGTCCTTTTTTGCCCGCGCCCGGCCGGCTCACCCCTTCCATAATGCCGCCATCGATCTCCACCCGCTCGCCGTCGCCCATGATGAGCCGCCGCCGATGGAGAGAAGCCGGGCCGTGGCTCCTGCAAACGGGGAAGACGCTCCGGCAGATCCCACGTCGAGCCCAGGCCGCAGCCAGGGAGAGAGAGGCACAGCCCGGCGGAAAGAAGCCGCCACTCCACGGGGGGACCCGGCGCCAGCTCCGCCCCCGGCTCGGATTCGGCCGAGGCGCTCGGTGGGTGGCGGGCGGCTGGCGGCGCAGGCGCAGGCAGGTCCGGCCAGCATCCTCTCTGATCTGCTAGCCTTCGCGTCTTTCCAGGTAGGATTTCCTTGTCCACTAGGCTATCTGGGATTGCGGTTCGCATCCCCCAGCCATGATGTGCCCTCTGTGGCTGGATTTTACGGAAGCTAATCCCCCCCCCTTAAAACATTGCCGGTAGGAACCGTACCACAGGCTACTTCCGGGCGGTCTCCTCATCAGAGCATCAATGAAAAAACCCCAAGTACTGTATGGTTCTTCTCCTCACCCTTAGCCTTACAACACCCCTGTGAGGTAGACCAGGCTGGGAGAGAGTAACGGATTCCAAGTGTTTTGTTGGCTGATTGGGGATTACGACCCAGGTCTCAAAAGTCTCCGCCTAACCATTCCACCACACTGACTCCGACAGGCGTGCCCGGGGTGTATGTGTGTGTATGTATGTATGCATTTATTTATTTAATACCCCGCCTATCTGTTTTTTTGACCCCTCTAGGCGGCTTCCAAATACATAAAACGTGCAAATATAGCAAAAAAAGAAATTATTACATCAAATAACAAGTTCTACAAGATGGAAAAGGGAAAACAAAGAATAAACAAGAGAAGAGCAGGCAGTGTAGCACGCAGTGCCTGCTGCACAAGAAGAGTTCTGTGCCCCTCGCATGCTTGCACGCATCGGCCCTCTTATCATATTTCTCCCCCTCCGCTTTCTAAACCAATCGGTCCCTCCCCGTAACCTTTCGTTGGACTGAAAGGGAGAAGGGAGCCTTCCCCCCTCCTTATTGGCTACGGCGCGCAAAGGGCGCGATCCGATTGGCTGACGGGTGGGAGGGGTGGGGAGGTGTGAGCGGCTTTCTTTTCCGGAATGAGATGGCGGCAGCGAGCGCCTTGAGGAGCTGCTCTAGGGCGACAGGGCTCTTGGTAAGGGAGCAGAGGCCGGGCGCGGACAGGGCGGCCTCCTTCAGCCGTGGTGGTGGCTGAGTGGGGTCCGGCCCTCGGTGGTCCGCCTTGTTTTTACTTCACTGAGTGCGAGAGCAGAGAAGGCTTTGCAGGACTGGGTGGGAAATCTCGAATCCTTGCATGAATTCATTTGCATGATTTTCCGTCATTCTCCAAGAATCATTGACCCAAAAAATAAAAAATAAATGGGGGGAAGTTTCAGTCTCCGTCGCCCAGGATGGGCCGCCACCGACAGAGAGAAGCCGGGCCGTGGCTCCTGCAAACGGGGAAGACGCTCCGGCAGATCCCACGTCGAGCCCAGGCCGCAGCCAGGGAGGCACAGCCTGGCGGAAAAAAATCCGCTGCTCTGGAGTATTTTCCAAGATCCTTAAACTATGAGAATATAGGGGCACTTCCCTGAATAGAGAGTGTATCTCTGAGTTCCAGATGTTAGCAGCCAACAGCATTTGAAGAGCCTTCTTACCAGCTTTCAGTGACATCTGGTTGGCTGTCATGAGAAACATAATATTTCACTAATTTTTTAAAAAATCCCACACCATGTGAGATTCTCCAGGTGTCTTGGGACTATAACTCCCTGTGTCTGTCTTGCCAAGGTCAGGTGGGAGATGTAGGCCCAGGAGATAGAGCCACACATCCTTCCTTCCTTTTTACTGGATACTTTGTTTCTTAGTACGAATCCTTGAATTTGCCCTTTACTGTGTTCTGGCTTTGGAGCCTGCCGATATGATACCCTCCTCCAGTGGGAAACCAGCAGTTTATATTGAATTCTATATCTCTTCAATCCTCAAGTCTAGCCCATAGTTAGAGATGATGGGGGTTGGAATGAAACACCTGGAGAGCCACAGGTACCCCAGGTCTGCTATAGACCCCCCCCAAGTTATTCTAATCTTTTAGGGAGTTGGTGATTTCAGGCTTGTTAGTGTGATGTTTCTCATAGAAACAGCTTCAGAATCATCTAAGGTGTAGACATGTGAGCCAATAAATTTCATCTCTTCCAGGTGTAACACCCACTCACAGTCCCCCATAAAATGCTCGTTTAATTTTGTAATAGAAATCCTGGTGATGGTCATACCAGGATGTTTTGCCCCTTTTATCTCTGATTTAGCAGGATTCTGTCACTGTTTTTTAGCCATCAGGTGGGTATATCAGAAGTTCCTAAATGCTTTGGGAAGTAGATAGCAAAAACCTGTCTTTGTTTCTTTGTTATGAATCCAGCAACCAATAGACCATTCTTCTAAAACAATTTCTGAATCCTTGTATAATACAGTCAGCATTTAAAAATAAACACAGTTAATAGATGTGCACTTGCTGTTTGGATACATTTACATTTAATATATCCAAACATTATAATTTCATATGAAGGTGAAATTACACATAAAGCATTACATTTTCTCATGTAACAAAACAACTTACTCTCTTTAAAGGATTTTAAAAAATGTTGTGGTTTTTAAATTGTTCCCTGAATTTCTGTTTGTTACATTCATGGTGGCAAAATTTCCAGAACTGTTGCTTCTCTGGTTTAAAGGTATTGTATTAGAGCACATAATTAGCTACTTTCCTGTTTTCTGGGGCTCCCTAAGATTATTTTGGTGGCAGCATTCAAGTGGAACACAAAACTCAGCTTGCACAGCTTTTGGGATTTCTCATTTTCTGTAGCAGAAGAAGAGGAGGTGTCTGCTTTTGCATCTGGGTGGTGAATACTCCATAAGTGCACTGGCTGTAATGTAAACCCCAGAGAAGCAAAGAGGACGCTAACTATAGTGCTTATTATATGACACTACATTATAGATTCTTCTGCAGACATTCTTAGTTTACATCTTGCTTCAAAACTGAAGTACGTAATGAGTCCCACTATGTGGCCTATCAACTGCCTTCCACTGTTCTTAAATACATGGAATATAACATATCTCTGCTTCTGAGCTCAGCATCTCTTCAGCTTTTCAAAATAAACACGTGTACATTTTATCAATGTTTTGAATCTCTCCACAGGTTGAGTAGCTCAGAATAGTCCTTTGCATTATTTTTCAGTAATTTGTTTTGAAAGTTGTAAGTATAATGCAAGACGTATCAAAATGTATCTGTCTGAATGAATATGTGTGGTCATTAAAAAATTAAATAGATTTCTAGAAGAAATTGTCAGCTGTACTCTCTCATTTTTAACCTAACGATTGTGCTAAATCCATTGAGATTTCTTTGATCAAATTAATAAAATTGTATTGACGGATTTTTGAGATTTCAGTCAAAGTCAGATTTCTGCAGATCTTACAGATGTTGATTTTGCTGGGGTTACCCTCCAAGATCTGTGGGAGTCTGCTGTGCATGTGGGATACAGGAGAGAATATTGTCTCTTTATCAACATTATATGCATCTACTATGGATGTGCATTCTCTGCCGTTACCCATCATTGAGGGGAATGCGAAAACATTTGCTTATGCTGGGCACCACGTTAGCTTTCAAACTCACGGGCCATAATAGAATAGGCTGGTAGTTTTTAATATGACTATGTCTTTCTTGTAAAATGTATTCAAACCACGTAAACTATCCTTTGGACTTTTTTAAATCAAAAATCTGTGTTTTTAAAATTATTTTCAACTGAGCATAGATCTTCCCTTGATCAGTAACGAGATCAGTGCAAATGTGTCTCTTTTAATCCTAATGTCAAAACCTTTCTAGAAATATGGAATTTGTCTCTGTATTCATATTTCTAGCAAACTAAAGGAGAATGTATAGTAGGTACTTCATTCTAAGGCTTTATTTTTCTTTCCCTTGCCAGCTCTGTGTCCGCCACATTCGATTGTACCGTAGCTTTCACTTGGTAAAAGCAAAATACATTTATGGATTTGACAAATCTGCGTGGAGGTATCGAAATCAACATCGGTTTTTTAGAACAACTGCTGGTGAGTTTCTTTCACACTACTTTTTCTGCCTGGAGTGCTTTTTTGGTTCCATAAATCCAAAGAGGTGTGATCAAAGAAGAAAATAATACAAACTCTTCAAGCATTTGAAATGATCACAAAGTTTCAAAGTTTTCAAGCTTTCAAAATGCTCACAATTCCTCTGAAGCTGGGAAGCCATTAATGACACTGTCCAATCCATTCTTCCACAAACAGCAGACCCTGTATTGGGTTTGGATAATCATCTGTCAGCTTAACAAACATGGGTGAACAAACTGGGAAATCAGTCCTTAATTATTGTTTCATGTTTCCAAGAAACTGCAATTAACAGCTCCAGCACAATGCAGCATATCAAGCCACAATATGAAGCTGGATTGTTTGAAGCCATTAGCTATATTTTCTTATTTCTCACAAAACAAACTACTATAGTTAGTGGAAGATGTTCAGGTTTGTTTGCTCATTTGTGTAAAGGAGAGAATGAAAACAGCTGCAAGAAGCTCAATTATAACTCCTTTATGTGGTCACTGAGGTAGATTCTCAGTCAAGTGTCCACAGGATTACAGTCTCAGACTACAGTTCTTCCCTAAAGACAGTCAATTTGACTGGGGAATTGTCCTCTAGGTAAATAAACCAGATTGCATGACAGTAGTCCCTCACAACTGTTCCTACATAGTTTTACTTATTACTATTCTTCTGCTTTATAGTTTCTTTCAGAAACAAAATAAAACATTGTAAATAGGAAATTTGTTATTACAGATCATACTGAACAAACCAAAGGCACTTATCCATAAAATCAGTTGTCTTTATTGGGTCCTTTACATGTGGTGTTCTGGAAATCAAGCATCAAGTGTTGATATGCCAAACCTTACTGAACCCGGGGGGTGGGGGGAGATCTTTGCATAAAAACTTTAGCAGCCTTATGAATCTCTTAACTCCTTTATTCCACATTGTCACTTTGTGAAAATTACCTACAGATCTGTCTGTTTTTGGAACTACTTTCAATTTAAGCCTAAATTTAAGTGACATTTTCTAGTTCTATTTTTTTTTTGTTTAACATTTGTTCCTTTATCTTTTTAAAGTTTCAAATGACCAGATTGTCCAGTTCAAGCTATCTGATATTGGAGAGGGAATCACAGAGGTGACTGTGAAAGAATGGTAAGTTAACTTGCAGCTTTCCATAGAGCAGGACAGTCCATAACTAGCTACCTTACGTTTCCCTGAAAAGATGGGATGGGAAATAAAGGACAACAGTCATTTTAGAGTTGTGCAAGAGACAGACACGTGTATGAAACTCAACAGTTAGAGAAACTCATCTCACTATTCAGTTAATTTGAAAAATAATTCTGGGTGAGGGTGGGCAAGAGAGGATGAACTTTTATAAATGAAATACTTATTTTGGTATGGGGAGGGGGCTAGCAAAGAGATGTGTTGACTCTAGCCCAAGATTTGTTTACATGGACAGCCTCCAGGCCCATAGATTATAAATTCAAGCAATTTACATGCAAACTCTTATGACATCTCTTCCAGGGCTTCTTTGTATAAGGTACCCAGAAATGATTTACCAGTCCTCCTCTTCCAGTGGCTCTCTGGGACTGTGCAACTTGCCCAGGGCCACACAGATGGTAACACATGTGACATATCAGTCAAAATGCTTGGATCATTTCAGCTGGCCTCTCTAGGAGGCACAGTGAGGATTTGCAGTTCCTTCCCCTGGCTGCACAACCAGGCCCTCTAAACCTCTGAGTTATACCAGCTTTCAGAGAATATTTACCTGCCTTTTTCTAGTATGCTGGCATGAATAATGCAGTGCCTTAACAATGTGCAATGTAGTGAATTACTTGCACAGTTGAAGTAGTAATGATAACGATAGCCTGGCAGCTCAGAAGCAATGAGTTCATTTTGGAAAGGTATGCTTCAAGTTCTGCTCTGCTCTGTTGAATGTTGGGGCTGTTAGAACGTATTATCCCAATAAGCAGCACACTTTGCTTTGCTTTTTATTATCCCGTGGGCAGTGCAATTTTGCTTTCGGCGTTTATCCACTTTCCTACCATGTATCTGAATGTCTTTTGTTTCAGAACGTATTATCCCATGGGCAGTGCAATTTTGCTTTCGGCGTTTATCCACTTTCCTGCCATGTATCTGAATGTCTTTTTTTTTCAGGTATGTAAAAGAAGGTGATGTTGTGTCTCAGTTTGACAGCATCTGTGAAGTGCAGAGTGATAAAGCTTCTGTCACTATCACCAGCCGTTATGATGGCATCATCAGAAAACTGCATTATGATTTAGATCAGATTGCCCAGGTGGGGAAACCGTTGGTGGATATAGAAATAGCTGCCTTGAAAGGTAACCTTAACTGATTTTCATTATTATGTCAGGAGGCTTTTCTGCATTAGTTACTCAGCAAGCCTTCTAACTACAAGAAGGTCCACCAGGCCATGCAAAAATAAAATGAATATTTTATGTGCTCCTTTCTCTTTGTTTATATATTGGTCACTAGATCATACTGAGAACAAAAGCCAGATGGGTTTTACCTGATGGGTTGTACATGCCAGTGGGACTTTTTTACTTGAAATCTTTTAATAATGGACCTTCATGATGTGGCCAGGTTCTGACCAAGGCATGGAGAAGTTACTTTTTACAATTACAGCTGCCATGTTGGATACGTGATTCTAGAAGCTATAGTCCAAAACAGCAATTTTCTCAAGCTCTGGTTCAAATACAGTAGGTTCCTGTTTCTCAATGCACAAGACTTGAGCTTGCAGACTCCTGTACCTCAAGTTTCTTGAGGTAACTTACAAATTAAAATCAAATTCTACACTAGAAAATAACTGCAGCAACTTGGATGGTTCCTCCTTGTAGTGCCATTCAACAGCACCCTAGTGAGGTGTGTGTGAAGGAGCTACGTTTCCACATACTGCAGGCTAAGTGCATGATTAAGTCCATTTAACACACATTTAAAGAAAACACAACAGTGAGAAACTGTGGGGGAGCTGCTACTTTAAGTGAAAGAAACTGATTAATATAGTTTTATGGCATGTAAGATGCATTCTTTATTTGATGTCCAATCTGCAGGTGTAGCTTCTGAAGAGGATGTTGTGGAAACGCCTGCTGTGTCACATGAAGAACAGACCCACCAGCAGATTAAAGGCCACAAAACCTTGGCAACTCCTGCTGTTCGGCGCCTTGCCATGGAAAACAATGTGCGTTGACTTGGGACTGAACAAAAAAAAAATCTTGCAGTAGATATATAGTGTATTGTTGCACATGCAAGTGTGTATATGTCTAGTAGATGCATTTGTAATGAACAGTGAGTGCTAACAATGCAGTTAGGTGGAGGAGTTGTTGAGATATATCTATATCTCTTTATATCCATATACTCTATATATCCATCCACTTATTGTGTGGGCCATCTGGCATCAAAATCGTAGCTGTCTAAGCAGAGGCTTGTTTGTTCATTTTGATGTTTATATACTGTTTAATATATCAGATGCTGTATGTCAGTATATTGTTTATCAGTATAGGATACTACCGTAGCTTGTTTGTTCATTTTGATGTTTATATACTGTTTAATATATCATATGTTATATGCCAGTATATTGTTTATTAGTATAGGATACTATATGTATTGGGGTCTATGCATATGCTAATAATAATAAAATTCTTGAGCAAATTAAATAAAATATATAAAATACAGTATAAAAATACAACAAATTTCAAATTAATTTAATTATTTTTTTTTTAAAAAAATACATAAATAGCCAAGACAGTGCTGAATGGGGGAAATAATAATTGCAAAGCAGGAACTATATTGTTTATCAGTATAGGATACTACCGTATTTTTCGCACCATAAGACGCACTTTCCCCCCATAAAACAGGGGGGTAGAAAGTCTGTGCGTCTTATGGAGAGAAGAAAACAGATTATATTTTCTTGTTTTCTTCTCCTAAAAAATTGGTGCATCTTATGGAAAGGTGCGTCTTATGGAGCGAAAAATACGGTATATGTATTTGGGTCTATGCACATGCTAATAATAATAAAATTCTTGAGCAAATTAAATAAAATATATAAAATACAGTATAAAAATACAACACAATTTCAAATTAATTGAATTATTTTTTAAAAAATACATAAATAGCCAAGACAGAGCTGAATGGGGGAAATAATAATTACCAAGAAGGAATGGTGAGGAATTTAAAACTCAACAGAGTTGTAACCTTTCTAATTACCTGGAAGAGAATGTTCCAGAGAATGGGATCGCCTGTAGGACCTACTTTTTTGAGGCAACATAGTGGCGCTCTGTTGCTTGTGGCATAACTAGTAAGACTTCCAAAGAAGATCTTGGCTGCTGTCTGATCATATATGAGGGAGGCAGTATGCTGGGTGCCCTGATCCTAAAGCATTTGTTTGCTTGTGGATCTTTACGTGGCAGGCTTCTGGCAATGCCTGAACAAAACTTGTCTTGTTAATGTATACATGGGTGACACAGGATTGTGTTATCTTGCACAAGCCAATTATAGACATGTTTACACTAAATTAAAGGATGCATTTATGGATGCCTTATAGGAGTACTAGTCTTAGATTCACACGTACATACCTTCAACAGCCCTGTAAGAAAATGTATACATGGGTGACACAGGATTGTGTCATCTTACACAAGCCAATTATAGGCATGTTTACACTAAATTAAAGGATAAATTTATCGATGCCTTATAGAAATACTAGTCTTAGATTCACATGTACATACCTTCAACAGCCCTGTAAAGAGTCTTCAGATCTAAGCCATTAATGGGACCATATGGACTGGGAGTTAATAGAGGTCAGTAGGTTTCTTAGACACTTTGCTGATCTTCCTTGTAACATTTTCTTCCTTTGTCATCCCATTCAGTAAAAATGTATGTGTTTTTTTTAAATATATATCCAGAGTTCCTTAGCTTGCTGTATATATTTCAGATTAAACTGAGTGAAGTAGTTGGAACAGGAAAAGATAACCGTATTCTCAAAGAAGACATTCTCAATTATTTGGCCAAGCAGACAGGCGCTATTCTACCTCTGTCTCCAAAAGCGGAAATAATTCCACCTTCCCGAAAATTGGAGTCAGCGCCAGAAACAGCAAAGGAGAAGGCATCGAAAATTCCTACACTCATTTCTAAACCTGTGGTACTTGCAGGAAAAGATAAAACAGTGGCCTTATCAGGTAACACAAAGAAAGAGGAGAAGGCATCGAAAATTCCTACACTCGTTTCTAAACCTGTGGTACTTGCAGGAAAAGATAAAACAGTGGCCTTATCAGGTAAAAAAAAAAAAACCCTTTTAAATAGCATACAAACGTAATGTGTAAATACATAGTAACTAGAAAACAAAAGAACATTGAATGTTACCCTGTGCTTTTATTCTGAAAAAATTTGTTAATGCTCCCCCCCCCATTGTGGTGGGCTGCTAAGGGTTGCTTCATATTCAATTAGTACAACAGGCAAGAGAGTATAAATTGATATATTTGTTATATTTCTATCTTGCCTTTCATCCATTGAGCACCAACAGTGAATATGTTGCTAGTCACTTTTCCACTTTCATTTTCAGAACAGATATTTGAGGTGGCAGGGCGGATGAAGTGTGACTGGTCCAATATTACTCATTGAGATTCAGAGCTAAACCTGGATCTTCTAAGTCCTAGTAACAGCAGCCTGTGTACAGCGCCACAAATCTCTCTTCCTAAAACATCATTGAGATTCAGAGCTAAACCTGGATCTTCTTAGTAACAGCAGCCTGTGTACAGCACCACAAATCTCTCTTCCTAAAACACGATTTAGGAAGGGATATATGGACACAAGGAGGCTTTTTCATGGGCAGCAAGTCTAGATTTAGATCACAGTGGACCCACTGAATGAACATTTTAATGTACAATTCCATCCAGGTGGTAATTGTTAAGTATGATGAGGCTGAAGCTGAGTTCTGGCTATTGTGTAAACAGTAGTGCACATCCGTGCCTTGCCCATATGCATTCAGAAGCTGTTATTTATGGTAGCTTCTAGGGGCCATGAACCCATTTAGCTATGAATCATGCCAGCCTTAATTCAACAATACTGCTTTTGTTGTCAGATAAATCACTTTTTCAAAAGGCTTTTCTGCAGAGCTCCCCCCCCTCTTTGGCCAACAGTTCCTATAATTGGCTATGCAATATTTTGATTGTTCATTTGCTTTGATAGATAAGACTGCTTCTTAGATGTAAAATGAAGCGACAGATAAGAAAACTCCTAATTGTAAACGTCTTTTAGGTCTATGTTTCTTCTCTTCTGATTCTCAGGATTTCAGAAGGTAATGGTGAAAACCATGACTGCTGCTTTGAAGATTCCTCACTTTGGTTATTGTGATGAGGTGGATCTCAGTCAGCTTATCAAGCTGAGAGAAGAGTTGAAACCTGTAGCTCAGGAACGGGGCGTTAACCTCACTTTCATGCCTTTCTTTTTGAAGGTGAGGCAAAATGGCAGACCTAGCTAATATGCAAAGCAAAGGCTTTCATTTTAATTTCAATAAATTTATTATTTACTTAAAACTAGGAATTAAAACCTGCCCTTTGATGAGATGGACTGATGTTAAACTCTGTGCTCCAGACATTTTACTCAGAAATCCCATTGACTTCAGTGGCATTTGCTCTCACATTAAACATGCATAGAACTGCAACCCTAAATAATTGAATTGTAAGCAGCTTCTCATTTTAGTATCCCACACCAGTTGTACATCAGTTTGGTAATGTATAAATGCAATAAATTATAATAAGGTCAAAGGCAGATGATTAATGAATTAAACATCATTTTTTTTTGTTTTATAAACTACACTTAGATTGTTGGGTTTTTAAAAATTGGAACCAAATATAAATCTCCATCCGAAACAATGACCAGAATCCTATTGTAAATCTCAGCAGAAAATTGGCACTAGTTAAGAAGCTAGTGTTCATATTATTTGCTGCACAGCAGTCACATGATATAGCACACTTCAAGAAATACTGTAAAAATCTTGACTTCTGAACTGGTGGCAATTTGTCACTGAAATTTGAACCACTGGATTTATGCTGGTGAAAGTAAGCAATATGATTCTGGCCATTGTCTGTAACTAGTGGACTGTCCTTCAATCTCTCCCAGTGGCAAAGTGCTTATTTTTCCATTTATGGGTTGGCTGCAGTAAGAAACTGGCTTTTTCAAAAACTCGAAATTCTATTTTGATAGTAATTAAAATTGTAATTAAAAATGAATTGTAATTAAAGTTAAAATTGAATACTTTGGACATTCTGGAGACATGTGAGATATAGTTTGTAACTTGTTTCAAAAAGGAATTATTATTCTGGGTGAATGTTAGAAAAGATCTAATGTCTTGAATTGATAGGTGGGAACATCCCCTGAGTGGGGTTCCATTTGAAGAAGGAAGGCAAATAAGTTTTGTCAATTTCCCCTTCAACATGCAGCCTCTTGCTCCCTCTGAAAATTTGATTCTGAGGACTGAGCAGCAAGTTGAGGGGGAAATTGGTAACTGTCACAACCTCTCACTCATCCCTTTATGGATGGCTTCATCTGGATTTTGCCAACAGTATAGCCTGCTTCTAGGCATGTTTAGTTTTATGAAGTACTTGGTATAGAGCAATCTGTCTTTGTTTATGTATAGGCATGTGTGCAAACTATGACATATTGGCCAAAATTCTTTTGTTGTTCACACAAGGTTTTCATAACTTAATGAGGTTGGTTGACAAGGTGCATCTCAGTTGCTGTCTGGATCATATACCTGATTGTGCAACTGTGATGTGCTCCATCTTGTAAATTAGCCCTAGCAAGTTATGCAAATCCTGTTTGAGCACCAGTGAGAATATGTGCTCTTCTTCCATTTGCTACTAGTATTTGTTTTGTTTTTTAATATTTAACAGGCTGCTTCTTTAGGTCTGTTACAGTACCCAATTCTTAATGCTTCTGTGGATGAAGGCTGCCAAAACATCACATATAAGGTATGTATATTATATGGATGGTATTCCTCTTAACAGGTCACCTAGTGTGGGACAGTGGATAGATTGAGCGACTAGGACTCTGGAGACCAGTATTCAAAGCCCCACTTAGCCATGGAAGCTCACTGGGGGTATGTGGAGCTGGTAACACTGCTCTTTAAATACCTCACTTCTTGAAAGCCCTATTGAGGTTTCTATTAGAGATAGGGGCATTTGTATTCGTATACAAATACGAATATCCCCCCACAGGTGCAGATAATGAGTGTCTGGCCTCCTGGAGCCAGACTGACCACTCATAATTTCACCGCAGCCGTGAGCTCGAGGGAGCCTTCCTATAGCTCCATTGCTCACGATGGATTAGCCATTCCTGGCAGAAAGCGGGGTGACGAGTCTCTCTTGCCAGGTCGCAGAGTGGCTAATCCATTGCGAGCAATGGAGCGATAGGAAGGCTCAGTTGAGCTCGTGTCTGTGGTGAAATTGGGAGTGGTCAATCTGGCCCAGGACGCTGGACCCTCGTTATCTTCACCTGTAGGGGGATATTCATATTGGTATACAAATATGAATACCCCCATCTCTAGTCTCTATCAATCAGTTCCAACTTGATGGTACATAAGTAACTCCTCTTACATCTTTAACTGGTAGTGAATTCTAAATTCCTTTAGTTTTATGATAATAAAATAATAAAGGGATATTCAGTATGATTCTTACCCTTGCTCATATTATCCTTAGCAATGATGTGAAGGGTTAGGAAATCTTATCTCCCTGTTCCTCTCTGCAGTTCCTCATGTCCCAAAATGTTTCTCCTGAAGGTCTAGAGAGATCTTCAGGATGGACCTGGGATTTTAATGTACTGAGAAGCTGCAGTAGAAGGAGGTAATTGCTGGAACTCAAATGGAGGCCACTGGCACAAGCAGGTTTCAATGAATCATCTTTGACTACTTTTGCTACCATGCAATGTCTCAGATGATTCTGTGAGGGCACCTTGTTATATGAGTCTCATTAGAGATTTGTTCCCATATTCGCAAATTAGATAATATTAGTAAAACTACTTATTTTAATTAAGCAAACTATACAATCTGTACTCTTCCTGTGGACCTAATAATTTCCTCAGGTTATTTTAGCAAGGAGGCAGTATCAGATTTATAGTTAATGAATAATGAGCAGCACCTTTCACAGTACAGAGGGAAGGAGTGACAAACTTTCCTAGGAAAATGGCGAGTGCCCTTTTTACTGTCCGCTGTCTGACTGCTTGCTTGTGGTTGCTGTGCTACAAGTTTAATACTGTATTTCATTATGTTGTAATTTTATCTTATTTTTAGGTTAACCAGCAACCTTTCAATAGCATATTTCAGAAAGTAGTGGTCAAAATCCTGTCAACACTAACGCAACATAAAGTGTGCCAGGCCTTAGATGCAACAAGAAATTGTGTAATTCACTTACACAGTTGGTCACACATCCTCCTATGCAGCCAGCTGTGCACAGTGGAAGTGCCTCATGGATAGCACTTCCACTTCGGTACTGTCATAACTACCATGACTTTGAGTTGTGTGCACACAGTTACACAATTGTATTTTGTCCAGTATTTTATAAAACATTTGGAACAGAATCCTATTGTAAAGTGATGCCACTCTAAGTATAATGGCATAATTTGCAATGGCAAATTGTCGCTAATTCATGTGTCTCGGCTTGCATTCCTAATTGTATGTCACTTGTGCAACTTGGTACATGACTAGGAATGTAAACACCGCTTGTTAATTAGTGGCAGTTACCACTGTGATTTTCATCATTACACTTTCTCTGGAGCAAATCCATAACAGAAGTCTGGTCAATGTTCCACAGAGAGAAAAAGAGATTTGCTGCCCCTCCGCACCGCTGAAGATCCCCAGGTCATATTTCTGGTGACAAAATGTTTCATAAAGAAAATTACTAAATACTGTGCTTTATCTTGCCCACAAAGAAAAAAAAGTTCATGTACATGATGTTTTCTATGTAATTGACTATTTATTTCTCTCCTGATCATATAATCTAGGCTTCTCATAACCTTGGAATTGCTATGGATACAGAACAAGGCTTGGTTGTCCCTAATGTGAAGAACGTTCAGGCCCGTAGTGTGTTTGAGGTTGCTTCAGAACTAAACCGCCTGCAAAACTTGGGGGTTACCAACCAGCTGGGAACAAATGACCTCACAGGAGGAACGTTTACACTTTCCAACATTGGCACAGTGAGTTAGATACTGTTTAAGATATAGCTTTGAAAATAGTGTTTCTACATTTTTAAAAAACCCACCAGCATGTTATACTGTTCTAAATATAATGGGACACTATGTCTCTGTGAGAGGAGAAGTGAGAAGATGTAACCTGGTGCTCTGAGTGCAAAAGGGTAGCTCAGCTGTCTATATATGAGAGTAATGCATCAATCTCCCATTGCTATTCTGTGGTGTGACAAAGGTCAGGAGGAGGAGGAAGGAAAGCAGGGCTCAGTTGAGTCCTGTGTTGCATCTGCAACAATGGCCACATGGGCGCTGGAGCAGATAGTGGATTCCCCCCTCCCCCCGAGACTGAAATAGAGATAGGAAACTTTCAACCCTCTAGATGATGTTGGGCTACAGTTCCCATCATTCTGCAGTTCCCAGCAGAGCCAGTGGCACCAGGAGAGTAGGATATGTAGTCAAACAATGTCTGATAAAATGATAAGTTGTGCACTCTTGCATAGGAGTTTCCCAGTACAGATTTCATCCCAAATGATACTGATCTTTACATCTGCCGTATCTGATTCCTTCACTTTTTCTTTTCTAGATTGGTGGTACATATGCCAAACCAGTGATACTACCTCCCGAAGTAGCTATTGGAGCGCTTGGAAAGATACAGGTACACTGATTTTCCAATGATGAAGCTACAGTTTTACTTATAATGAAGCAAAGGGTGCCTAATAAAAAGTTGGATTGGCTGTAGCTTTTAGGCCATGTTGCAGTTCTTACTTGCCATAAATGATCAGGTGTGTGGCTGTTAACAACCTTCTTTGTGGTCTCGGTGATTCACTTAATGGATTGTTTGGCATTGTTGGGTGGAGGAGCATGCACTATGTGTGAGGGTGGGGCTAACAGCTATCTAGGCTGTGGAAGAGTCTTGAGGGTTTCTGTGCAGGCACAGAACAGCCCATTAGTGTGGATTCACAGATGGCCATTCAAAGAACTACAGTTATATAGGCAAGTAACCTGTCTTTTTGTTATGTGAGTTTAACCTCTAGCTATCCCCTTTTTAGCCTGGATGGCATCAATTGACACAAGTTTGTTCCTGAGAAAAATAACAGAATGAACCATTCCTTTATTTTGTCCCACTTTTGGGGGGGATATATAACTGAAGCCTCACATAGCTGAAGCCTAATATGCATCAGAAAATAATTACTTGTGTTCTTGAGCTACTTTCTATTATGGTGAGGTCAGAAAGTATACTAGTTAGTAAGTGTATTGAGTTCTTATTGAAACAAGAAAATAAATTGGTGTAACACATAACTGTGATTTATCTTCTCATACTTGTCTCTAAGATGTTTGCGAATGTCTTGCCCAAACATCTTAGAGCCAAATGCAAACTAGTTACATTTACACTTGGCTAATTCTCTCTCTTTATCTCAGCACACAGAGATTCAGAAAAGACACTTAAAGAGAAGGCGGGCAACACAGAATGCACTTAGACTGATGACTGTTCAGGGTGGGGGAAAGCCAGTTGCAGGTCTCCCTGTATTGCCTTAATAAGACATTGGTCTAAGTTGTAAACATTTTTTAAAAATGTAAAAGTTCTTTATTCCACATATGGTTCTAAAATACGAGATAGAAGAGGGTGTTAGGCTGCTAGAATGAGGGATGCTGGTGTGTGTGAGAGAGGAAAATGGTCCCCCTCTCTGGTATACAGCTAATATGCTACATAAAATGTTTTAAGCGGCAATCCCTTTGAGCCTGGATTGCATTGGCCTCACTGATATCTGCTAGATTACACCCCTGAACAGCTGGATCTTGCCTCTAATCCTGCGTGTTCATATTCAAGATGACCCCTGTTATTATTTATGACATGTTAGAAGATATGCTGTAGTCTGGACACTTAATGACTATTTACCAGATCGCCTATGGCAAGTAAGAATCACCTTCAGGTAACTAAAACCTGCAACTCTAAATACACAGCCTACTAAGATGTTTAGTGGAAGATTTCTGAGTACATCATGTCAGATTGCACCGTATGACTGCAGTTTTATGTATGAAAGTGAGTTCCACTGAATACAGTGGGACTTAATAACTGAGTAGACATATGTAGGATTGTGTGGTAAAAGTTATTTGAAATAGCCTTTTTTAAATTAACAATTTTATATTACATCCTCATTTGTTTGAGTTCTTAAGAAAATACCTCAAAACCAGTTGTTTTCCATGGATTGACGATGCAATGAATTATGCAAGGCTGTTTTCCAAAATTAATAATAATAATAATAATTTATTGTCATTGTAAGTATATACACATACAACGAAAAATTAAAGGAAGAAGACTATGATAAGAAAAATGCAGGGACTCTTACATAGCCAGGTTTAAAACAATAGGAACTGATCATTTCGTAATGCTTCAGTTTTGTCTCATATATTCTTCTGTTCCCGAATTTCCAGGCTGTTCCTCGATTTAATAGTAAAGGTGAAGTAGTTAAAGCACATATAATGAATGTGAGTTGGTCAGCTGATCACCGAATCATCGATGGTGCAACCATGTCCCGTTTTTCTAACCTGTGGAAATATTACTTGGAGAACCCTGCTTCCATGCTGCTGGATCTTAAATAAAGAACACTAACGACCGGATGCAATTTTCTCTAGTTGTGGAACTTTTATCAAGCTAGGTACACTGGCAAGTGCCCTTGAGGAACAACATTTCATAACGCAATGACGTTTGGGAATGGATTGGCCATTCATAGCAGTGGCCACCATATTGATTACCTGTTACATTTCCATCTAGTTTAGTGGCAAATTATTTGGCTAAATGCTGTCGTAGGCCATGGTATGACTCTTTTGTTAAGGCAATGGAAGTTCATGGTAATAAAATAAGCTCTACTCTGACACTACCAGAAGAAAATTTATTAATAGGATTTCTTTTTTAAAAAAAACTGCTTTTGCTATATACAGAATAAATTATGTTGAAGCGTATTCCTTGTTGGAAACAGACATTTCTCTCTGGAGATGGGGGAAAACTGAAGGCATATTGCCAAATAATGAACAACAAATAATGTTCCAATAAAATGCCTTTTATGCTTAGTTTGTGAAATACTTGGGGGTGATATTTTCTTGATTTATAGGGCTGTGTGTCTTCTTTTTTTTAAGTGTCCTTTCTACTTTATAATAATTTATGCAGATTGGTTACTGATGGTCTGTGGTACATGGTACCATTTTTTACCTACAGGGCACCCCTCACGAAGAACAGGCTCTGCACTACATAGACCAGTGTGCAGGCATTTTAAAAATATAAGCATAGCTTTTTTAAAAAAAAAAACGCTGCAAGTATACAGAAGATACTTACAGCATATGTCTCTGACAATTCTGTACTGTAGAAAGCATTGCCCATTTCATATGAAAATTTTGAAGTATCCAGTAGTTGTTTGGAAAAATCTGTTGATCACACAGAAGTTACTTGACTAAGGAAATAAAAAGTGCTTTCTTATGCCATACAGATAATTTAAAGAACTGGTTTCTGAAGGTATCCCAAGAACTAAGTTATGTCCATGCTGACAGTTCATGATGCTAGTTGTTGAAATGTGTTCAATATTCTTTACGAAATACAATGAATGTAACCACAGTTTTCCACAGAACAGTTTGCGGAATGTGTTTTCTGTGCCTTGTACATACAACTGTAAAAATTTAAGGTGTGAATATGAGTTTGTGTGTGATCATAATGGCACCTTTTCCATCAGAACAATCAGTGAATTTTCTAATAGCCAGTCTAGTCATTGCTATCCCAGCTGTGAATTGCCTCAGAATGGCTGGCATTCAGAAAACAGCTAAGAAACTCTGAAGGAAATGCAAAGGTCTGCACTGCTCTGCATACAATAACAAAAAGGAATAAATTTCCTTTCTTTAAAAATTCTGTGAAGAGACATTGGGCTCAAAAGATTAATTGGTTTCACATTAAGATTTTCGACAGCACTTTGGGGATTCACACTTCTCTATGTGCGCTCATGTATAGATTAAATGTACTGCTTAGACTGAACGTAAGAGTGGATGGAAAGTTCGATTTGAAAAGAACAGATTTCAGATAAGCAGTCACATGAATGTACGTTAGACAAGACTAAAAGTAAGCATGTTTTAAAAGCAACCAGGCTTGATTGAAATAAAACCTTAATGGCTGAAATCCAGGTGAGGTAAACTTATACTATCCAACAAAGATGATGTCATCAACCAGCAATGGAAATCTTTAAATTTTAAACTACCTATCTGCCTGCCAATCAGGTTCCAGGACTCTCTAGGATTCCCGTTTGCTCTGGGGAAGTCTTTGGGAGCCTCCTAGCACAGAAGGAAAGCCTTTCATATTGGAAAATTACTCTTGGATTGCTGTTGGCAGAGGGACTGCCAGCACGATTTTCCAATATGAAAGGCCTCCCTGGCCCACCCTGAGGCTCCCAAAGGCTCGCTAGGAATTTCTAGGGAGCCCCAGAAATTGGGAAGGGGAAGAGAAAATAAGTTTTAAATTAAGAATTTGTTGGATAATGGTGTTATTGTGGGGCATAAAACTGTACAACAGGATTTCCCCCAATACTGTGCTCTGAATTTTAAACGATTACCTGCTTTTAAAAGATGCATTTGAGTAAATGTCCTTATAAATTGCTAGCCTGTAACTTTGTCATTTTTAAAACTCCCTTTGTAATGTATAAGGACTGTTTGAAGAATGAGGTAAAATATCTCAAATGAGATTTTTTCCTATACTGTTACTCTGAGGAACAGGAGGGAGCAATGTAAAGGTGTCTCTTGTCCATCTTTGAACTTCGTATTTGCTTCTGCTGATTAAAAAGAAAAAAATGTGTACTTAACATTTTAAAAATTGTTATATATTCTTTAATAAATCATCTTTTATTATACTTCTCCAGTTTTAGAGCTTTATTTGGGGCATCAAATGGTTTTAGTTCCTCCAGTAGTATAAGTCCACGTACCTGGATATGGGCCATGGCATAGACTGTTAGTCTCCTTGTGAGAAAGCAACAGTTTGAAGTCATGTGCGGACATACATGAGGTTGGTTTACATTTAATATTCTTGACAGCACCATGGTTTTTTTTTTGTAGTTCTTTGATCCTCCCGATTCCCTTTCATTGGCCAGAATCCATCTGAATACTTACCCTTATGTAAGTCCAGTGGCATAAATCTCAGTGGCAAATGGCTACCAGTTAAGGAGTGAGGACATTGCAATGGATTTTGTACTATTTGAGAGGATAAATCATACCGCAATGTCCTGCAGTTAGCTAGAATAATATTAAATAACTTGTTTCCCTAAGGATATTAATTGATTGTATTCTGTCATTTACTTTAAAAACGGCTGTTCCTATGTTTCCAAAATTGTACTTAATATCTGCCAATGTCGCTATTCCTCCCACATATAGCCATAATAATATGATAAATAATATTAGTAAACATAGAAAAAAAATTACTCTATCTGGGGTAGTTGACCGTTCTTGACTTGTAGAAATATGACAAGTTTTGAAAAGCAGAAAGAGGCTCAGAATGGGAAAATATTTTGGAAAGGTACGGTTGCTGGCTACAGCAATACTTACTCGTCCCAGCCAGTGACACAAGTTAAAATTAGAACTCGGCTGGCATTACATATCACTCTGTCGTAGTTGGTGTGACGGTTGTAAATGGTTCTAACAAAGCATTAAAGATTCACGATTGCTTTCAGTCATTGCTCAAAAATCTATGAGCCGTGGACAACCAGCTGCCACTGCAGCCAGGGATTTAGGTAAGACGTTATAAAATACCTCTTCTGTTCTTTCCTAGTGAGAAATGTGTTAGCAAGGGATGTGTTGATCTGTGGATGGAGCGTGATGTTGCTTTGCAGCTAAAATTGGGAACAGGCTTTTGAAATGTCTGGCAGGTTATGATCAGCATTTCACTAAATGATTGTCAGAATAGCTTTGTTCACCTCCTCCGTGCTCCTTGAATGCAGAGGCCCACAAATGAAGATCCAACAACAGGCCATGGAAATTGAATAATGGTTTATGTCTCTTTTTGTTGTAGAATGATATTTCCTTCTGGAGGTCAAGTAAAGTACAGAGATATAATGCACTTGACACTCTCACCAGGTTCCCCGTCTCTCTTTCACCAATGACCCTCCTATAAGCTCTAGCAACATGGGGAAAATGAAACCAGATGCTGAAACAGAAGGCCGAAGAGCCATGTCTGAAACAACGGTTTGCATTGGCTCATTTACAGCTGTCAAGACACTTTGGGAAGTCAGAATCCAGAAAATAAATGAAGAGATTCGAAAGGAAAAAGAATTCAGTCAGAGGGCTACTGAGAGGTAGGTACTTTTCGACACTTCAGGAATTTCAAAGTTTCATGAGCAGGTCTCCAATTTACTTCAGCTAAACTGGAGCCCTGCTCTAGACGTGCTCTACTACAAGGTAGCAAGGTGGATTGCACTGTTTAAGTCTCAGTCCAGTCAGACTAGTCTCAGATCTTTTTGTTACCCAAACTTTACTGTACTTAAAACACTATTTCGACAGTCTGGTGTCAATGCTTGACCTGTCTCAGGCTCACTTTCCGACCTTGACATTTTTGAATCAAAGTTTGGAAATCCAAAGCAATTTAAAAACAACTTCACAATTTCCCCCCCCAGATTGACACTTGTTTGGGAAGAAAGAGTCAGTTTGGCCAAGCTGAAGAAAAAAGTAATCACGGAAGAAGGAAGGGCTGTATTAAGAATTGATCAGGAAGAATGGAAGGTATTTTATTAATGTGATACAACTGTCAAAAGATTTTCTATTGTTATCCCAGCTTCAGTGTTTCACTTCATTAGTATCAGTGGTTGTCATGTGATCCTGATTTTTTTTAGAGCTGTGGTGCTTTGTTTGTTTCGACTGAGACTTAGATTTACTGTATGTTTGTTAGAACATAAATCTATTATAAACACAAGTCAAGAGTATTGGAAGAAAGCAGTTTTTTTAAAGTGAGTAGCACAGCTACGAATATTACTCCTGCGTTAAGACTACAAAACAATAGTATTGGACTCCTCACAGCTGCCATAGCTGGTTTTATCCCAGTTTTTTCCCCAATTCATATTACTGTATAGCATACAGTTTCTATATCCATCATCCTGCCCTTTCCTGCAAAACTCAATGACGGTGACATTTGGTTATATTTAAATGTATTGTTTATATGATTTTGAAACTGTTGTGAGGGGCTGAGTGAGGAACATGGAATGTTGGTAAGCATGGTTCTGATTGGCTGGTTGAAACCAGGGAAGTGAGGGTTGCAATGTGTTTGTGAGCAAGTCTGGTGTGGAAAGATTGGGGAGATAATGGTTTTGGAGTATAGGGGTCTGAGGAAAATGTCAAAGAGAACAGTCTGAGGGAGAGAGGGAGAGAGAGAGAGAGAGACTGAAGGATGGGAGAGGAAACATGATTGTGCCACATGAATTTAAAGCCTAGGAATAAACAATATTCTTTTTAAAATGTTACTTAATAAAATGTTATTTGTTCTGCTCAAGCTGTGTGGTGCCGAGTTCAATGCCCGGAGGCTGGCTATGTGAATGATGGTATAAGGGCATAGGTAAAGGGGCAAATACATGCATAGGGGCAGCTAAAGGTTGTTGGCAGTGAAAGAAGAAGATGGCAAATGAAGATTGTTAAAGAACACACCTTATTCCTGTGGAGACATAAAGAGATCATTACCTAAACAGTTAAGTGACAAGACAAAGGGAGTTGTGACACTGGTATCAGAGAGAGGGATGTGATTTTAAATGCTGAAGAGAGAGATTTAGAACTTAAAGAGCATTTATCTATCTTGTTGCACCTCCTCATTCCCCATTTACTTGCAGTCTGAAATGGGGCAATTTTTTAAATCATGAGACATATATGTCTACTTCGCTAAACCCTCACATCATAACTCTTAATTTTAGTACGTATTCAGAATGAAGCCACTGCAGTCAATTTATAACAGCAAGTCCAAGAGGAAGCAGTACCAAAGAAAAACTGGCATGGAATTGTTTCACTGTATCATTGTGATTCTTCTATACTCAAGAGGGGTAGGCACAGAGAGCTAGTCACTATGAACGTATCTCTTGCCCAACCTCCCAGAGCAAGGATAGACAGTGAAGCTGTGAGTCTGTGCTTGAATATTAATTTTTTTCGAGTAGAGTATGAGGAGCAATAGCATACCATTTCTCATCCACTTTTCATTTAACTATGCTGACCATCCCGTTCTTGGATGCACGCCTTAATGTGGTGACAGTGTTTGTATGTCAGGAAAACTGGCAAAAGACAAAATCAAGACTGCAGAAAGATTATGTAAGCTCACCATTGAAAAAGAAAAAACTGGAATAGTTTGAGAATTTTTAATAGGTTGATTCAATCATTAATTATTAATTAAATCATTAATCAAAAGCAAGAAAATCAGAAGAAGATGAGACTTGGAAAGAACAGCTATGAAAGAACTAGGAATGATTCTTAGACATCAGGATGAGTCACTGGAGATCAAAGCCATGAACATACATCCTGTGGTATCCCCAGTTACTCTGAGGGGCTGTGAGAGCTACACAATGAAGAAAATTGACATTTAAAAATATGACTCATTTTAAAAGTGATACTGGAGGAGAGCTTTATGGATAGTTTGGAGTCCTAGAAAGACTAATAAGTAGGTTCTAGATATCTAGCCTAAGCTCTTACTAGAAGTAATAGTGATTAAACTGAGGCTCTCATAATGAGAAGAAAATATTTATTGGAAAAGACAATAATGCTAGGAAAAGCTCAAGATCTAACATAAGATGGATCAACGGAATAAAGGAATCCATGTCCTTTAGTTTGCAAAACCTCAACTGGAGTGTTTAATGACAGAAACTTCTGGAGGTCAATAACTCCTAGCCATCATAAGTTGGAAATGACTTGAAAGTGTCAACCCAAACTTAACATCTCTGGCTATGGGTCTGCAGGCTTGTTCCACTCACTCAGAAATCAGTCCTTAAATTGCTTCATGTTTAAGATTTAGATAAAACTTTAATTTAACCCACACTGCAATAGAGAATTTAGTCCTCTGAAACCTTTATTAGACACTGAACTACAAAACAATTATAAGCAGATATATGCTGCAAAACTAGCAAGTTGAATTAAGTTTTCTCTCTCCCACCCTCTCTCTCTTGCTAACTAATTTATGTATATTTAATGTTATACAAAGAGGAGGAGAAACCACTGAATAATATTAGTTGGTAATTCTTTTTCTACTAAGATCTGGCTCAGTTTATCTTGTGTTTTGCCTTTTTAAAAAAAGCTAGATTGTTGTAATCTTCCCCAAGCTGGTGCCTTTTAGATGTGTTGAGCTTAACTGGCATCATCCCACCAGCATGACAAATTGGGCCGTGTGGGATAGACTTTGGAGAGTTGTACCTCGACACATCTGGAGGGCAAAGGATTGGGGAAGGCTTGCTTGTTGTAATGTTTGGTGTAAGAGGATTGAGCCAATAGGATCAGTGACTATCTCCTTCCTTTCTTATTTTGTTTCATACAAATTTAGACGCTACCTTCTTGCTTACTGAACTTGAACCACCTCCAGGAATGGCAGATTCACAGAACTGGTTTAGTACAAATTCCTCAGTTCATTGGTCGCTTTCAAAATCTCATTGTTCTAGATCTGTCTCGAAATTCCCTTGCAGACATTCCAAAGGAGATTGGTGAGTTGAAAAAATTAAACTTTCTTTTATTTCCCTCTAAAAAAGTTCTGCTTCTCAATCAGGAGGTTTTGAGCCATGTTTCTGGGGCTTTTTCGATGAACATTTCCCTCCTGATGGTCCAAACACACTGGGATTCCTCTTTCTCGAACAAACTATTTTTTGTGAATATTGACTCTCCTTCATTTCAAAATGTATTTGCTGTTTAAAGAGACGTGAGAATTTTGAACTAGATTACAAAATTTTTTTTGCGGTAAAATCATGTTAACATCTAGAAATAACATGATAGGATTTTGCAGAAAAAATGTCATTGTTGTTCTTTTCTAGTCGCCATTTGGCACGATCCTTCAGACACTGCTGGCCGGTTAAGTAGCGCCTTCTACTGAGATCTTCAGAAGAAAGGGGGTGGGTTGAGGTACTGAGATCCACTCAGCTTGTTTCACTCTTTTCCAACACCTTTTCCTTTGTATCCTGCCTGTATGTTTTCGTCATAGACTACAACATCCTCCCAACACCCCTGGGGCCACTAGATGTTTTGAAAGACGGTTCCCATCATCCACAGTCAACATGCTCTAGTCTGATAGGAACTGGTAATCTAAAACATCTGGGTCAGAGAGCATCCCATTGAAGCCCATTCTGTGTGACCTCCAGCTTTCCATAATGCAAGCAGACATTGCTTTGTTTAAACTAGTGGGCATTTCCACTTGGTCTAGTGGGTAGTGAAATACCATCTTGGACAAACGCTGTAGCATCACTACTGTTGTGTGATCAATAAAAGTGTACTGGGCTTGGTGGGTATCAGATGTAGGAAAGATAGGTGATTGAAACCTGGGAAGGTTCAGGTTTCCCTCCAAAATGGCTCCTGATCTGATATTCAGGACAGCTATTGTTCCCAGCTTCCTTCTACCTATCAGCTTGTAATGGCTCCTGATCTGATATTCAGGACAGCCATTGTTCCCAGCTTCCTTCTACAGTACCTATCAGCTTGACTGCTGTCTTCTCCACAAGGAAGACTCTGGCAAAGGGCAACGTCTGTAGCTTCCTCTCATTCCTCCATACAGTATGAATGATATGAACAGCCCATCCATCCAAATCTCTCCCCAACCCCTTTATATCTTCAGTTGTTGAACCATGCAGCAGTCAAGGCACAAGGAAGTGGAAACAAGTCACTGAGGAACAGCATAACTTCAAGAGCTCCATCAAAGCAGCTCTGTGTTAACTCTTCACTGATTATGGAGAGTGTTGGTTACAATAAAAAATTACCATTGCATTTTTAGGTAACTTTACAAATTTCCAATTGTTTTTAAATTCATCTTTAAAATCAAATAAAATCATACTACAAAGCCAGCAGAATTTCGTTCACTTCCATATCCTCCAGCAAAGAAAGGAAAGCAGAAAGTATCTTTTGTCTTGACTTCTGAGAAAAAGTGTCCCTGGCAAAGCCTGGTTATGTTAATGTGTGCCAGCTTGATCGCTGCTGTGCCACCACCTCCTCCCTTTACCCTTGCCCGGCCTGGCTAATCAAAGCAGCCAGGCCGATAACAACGGAATGGGCCACTGTAATAATTAATGGGTCTTTCCTCAAGGGCAGATTTCCATCTGCCCTCAAGGAGACACTCATTAGGCCCATTAGGAAGAAACCTAGTTTGGCGGCGGACAAAATTGGCAACTATAGGCCCGTTGCCAATGTTTCTTTCTTAAGCAAGATGGTCGAGAGGGTGGTGGCTGACCAGCTCCAGGCACACCTGGATGAAACGGATGCCCTGGATCCATTTCAGTCGGGCTTCAGGCCGCGCCATGGTACAGAAACGGCATTGGTTGCCCTGTGTGATGACCTATTGAGGGAGGCTGACAGGGGCAAAGTGTCCCTGCTGGTCCTCCTCGATATCTCAGCGGCCTTTGATACAATTGACTACGGTATCCTCCTGGGGAGGCTCTCTGAGTTGGGAATTGGTGGCCTGGCACTGGCCCGGCTCCGTTCCTTCTTGGAGGACTGGCCCCAGAGAGTGCAGCTTGGGGAGAGTGTCTCTGATCCCTGGACAGGGATCAATCATTTTCTCTTTGGTTTTTAACATCTACATGAGACTGCTGGGGGATATCATCTGGAGATTTGGAGTATTGTATCATCTATACACTGATGACACCCAGCTCTATCTTTTTCTTGCACCTTTCTGCAGTGGATGCCATCCCATCCCTTGAATGCTGCCTGACTGCAGTACTGGAGTGGATGGGGGCAAACAGGCTGAGACTGAACCCAGATAAGATAGAGCCCCTCTGGGTGGGGGATCCTACAGTCTGTGGATTGGATGGCACTCTTTCTTTTGGAGAGGCCAGTCTTTCCACCAAGGATGAGGTTCGTACTCTGGGTGTCCTTCTGGACCCAGTGCTATTTATGGAATCTCAGATAGCATATGTGGTCTAGTCAGCCTATTTCCACCTTAGGTGGAGCGCCCTACCTTGATGCATGGATCACATTGATCCATGCGTTGGTAATCTCAAGATTAGATTATTGCAGAGTGCTCCACATAAGGCTGCCTTTGCGACTGATATAGTAACTTCAGCAGGTCCAGAACATGGTGGCAAGACTAGTTACGAGAACATCAGAATCTCACCCCAGTATTGGCTGCCCTGCACTGGCTACCACTTTGTTTCTGGATTAGGTTCAAGGTTCAGGCTTTGACCTATAAAACCCTTAACAGCTTGGTACTTCAGTACATGGCTGACCTCCTCCTTCCAAGTGGAACTGCCTGTCCTACCTGTGCTTCCAAGGCTGGATGTTTGAGGTTGCCAACTCCTAGAGAAGCCCAGTTCCTTTTCTGTGGTTGCTCCAATTGTGGAGATAGTTTTGCCAGCATTAAATCTCAAGTCAGCAAAAAGTGATGTGGTTGGCTTTTCAGACTTTATTCAAGTATAGCTCCAATAAATTAAAGTAGCTGTTTTTGTACTAGGCCTGTAATATGTTTATATGTGAATATTACACTGAGCTTCTTGTATTTCTGATAAATAAATAAATAAGTGCCTTCAAGATAGTTTTGCCAGCATTAAATCTCAAGTCAGCAAAAAGTGATGTGGTTGGCTTTTCAGACTTTATTCAAGTATAGCTCCAATAAATTAAAGTAGCTGTTTTTGTACTAGGCCTGTAATATAAGTTTATATGTGAATATTACACTGAGCTTCTTGTATTTCTGCAGGTCAGTTGTCAAATCTCCAAGAGCTGCTCCTCAGTTATAATAAAATTAAGTCTGTTCCTAAAGAACTAAATAACTGTGCCAATTTAGAAAGACTGGAGTTGGCAGTGAACAGAGATATCTGTGATCTTCCCCATCAGGTTTGAGAAAACTATTCTCTCATACTTTGGATCAGGATAGCAAAGGGGATGTTTTTTTAACTGCCTTTTAAATAATAAAGTAATTAGTGCTGAATGTAATCCTCCAATTACTGCTGGCGTAAGGTGTGTTGGTAGTACCTTGCGGCTTGGAGTGAGGCAACACTGAAGATAGAGACTCTTTGTACAATTGGTGCTCCCAAAAGGTGGCAATAGTGCAGCTGTTTTGATGTGTTAAATTCTCTGGAGATAATTCAGTAGATTCATGCATGCAGCCTCACACAAAGGAGATGCACATGTTCCTAAATGGCAGTGCAGTGCAAACAATGATCTCCTTGTGAGCCTGAGGGTAGTTGTTAATGCACGAATTCATGTTAGTACATACAATGCACTAAATTAGGGTGAGACTAGATGGGGATTGGTCCCATGATTTGGTCCACACTGGGGATAGGCTGGTTCACTCTTTTTTCCTGGCAACCACATGATGTCATTCTGAACCTGCCCCTCTCCGAAGCATACCTAGCCAGACTCTTTGGGATCCCTTTCAGGGGCTACTGTTTTTTTGTTTGGTGCTGGGCTGCTTTTGTAATTGCTCCCCCCCTTTCCCTTTAAAGGAATAAAAGGTCCAAATAGGGTTGCTTGAAGTATGGTGCAGTTGATTCGTCCACGTGCATACCCCAATGACATACCACGCCTCACAGCAACCCTGTTTAGCATGATTTATTCCAATCCAGGCTGCGACAATTTGGGTCTAGTCATACGTGTGCCCTCATATTAATATATTGCGCCATATCTCAATCACTGGACGTTAAATGTTATGCAGTTAGCTGAGTTAGTGTTCAAAATCCAACTAGCAAAAATCAAGTGTGTAAGGAAGTCATGCAATGTTTCCCCCCCTCCTCTCGTCTCACCTTTATGCAATCAGATATGTGCCATTTTTGTAATCACTGCAACACTGAGTGCATAACAGGGTACATGCTGGAGGAGAGGAAAAGCTTTTGATTGCACAAGTCTATAGGATTTTGATCATTCTCGGTTAAATCTGCTTATGTGTGTTAAACAATACAGTAGTATCAAAAAAGCTCTTTGCAAAAGGCAGTGATTGTTACAGAAAACACAATGTAGAAAATATAGAAAAGGTACTTTTTTGTCCTTGAAAAAAAATTATAGTGCCTTCCTCTTCTCAGATGGCATTTCACCTGCAGTTGCTGCTCGTATAATTGTTGCCATGTTAATAATGCATCTCTTTCTTGTTAATCATAAGGTTCTTAATGGATGAATCTGAGACAGCTTAATGTTATGCATGATTACCCAGAAGGAAGCCTCATTGCGTTCATTGGGATTTATTCGTACTAACATACTAAGTGATGTTAGGGCTGCATCCTAAATAACCCAGGGTTAGTTACCATGAATTTTAATGGATCTCCTCACAGTACAATCTGTCATGCCCATACAGTGTCAGTTCAATTGGCACTTACACCCTCCTTATTCTGTAATATATAACATGGCTATAACATGCTTACTTTAGGATAGTTTCCGTATTACATTTCTTTGCAGAAATTATTGTCCTGATTTTTCTTTCACACTTTGTTTTTTGTCTAGAATTCTGGGAAGGCTTTTCCATGCTATCTGTACTTTGTTTTCCCTAGAGTGATGTGATAATAGGAAGGAATACGTTAGTCATAATTGGCTTGTCTGCAGTGGAGCAGAACAAATCATTTATCACTGTAGAAACCAGACAAATTTGTTTCTTCAAGCAGTGCATCTTATCTTTGTTGCTTGTCAAGCGTAATACCAAAAAAAGCTGTGTGAGAACATTGTCTGACTATAACTGCAGGCTATCTAAGACTCTAGAATAGTGATACTGTTTTATACAGGATTGCTTTAGGGATGTGAGCTTTCTCAACAACAGTGTTCATCTTGTGAAGCTATGTTACCAGTGAGATCTTTCACTCTCTCTTCCTTAGCTGAGCAACATGAAAAAGCTCTATCACTTAGATCTGAGCATGAACAACTTCACCACCTTCCCATCGGTCATCCTGAATATGCCAAACCTGGAATGGCTAGACATGGGGAGCAACAAACTGAAAGAAATCCCTGCTGATCTTGACAAGTAAATTAATTTTAAGCATACTTTATATGGATGAATATTCCTATTAAACTCCTGCCAAACATTTCCTAGCAGCAATAAAGTTTACAGAAAATGAAAACTGAATGATTGTAACAGGCAAGCAGTACAGTAGGATCCTTTTTTCCAGTGGATCAGTATCTACAGATTCACTTATCCATGGTCTAAAAATATTAAAAATATTAAAAGAAAAAATCCAGAAAAAAACTATTTTACATATATTACCAGAACTGGCCACAAGAGGGAGCAAGATACCATGTTATGAACACTTGTTCTGGTGGTCTCTAGTGGCCAGTTCTAGTAATGCATATGAAACTAAATTTTTCCTGTTTTCCTCTCTTCTACTATGCTATATATACAGCATTTGTATGTATAGTGGATATTGAAAACATCCTCGGTTTTCAGTATCTACAGGGAGGGCTTGGAACCAATCCGCAGAGGATAGGGAGGTCCTGCTGTAGTATTATAACATACAACATCCACAAAGAATCTTGAAACTATGGTCTATAAACATTTTAAAACACAAACACTTAAATTTAGACCTGTGCATTAACTGATACATAGACTATTCTGCCTCGAAACTAAAACAGTGTCTACTTGAAAAGTTAATTAATTTGTATTTAAATAATTTGTATACATTGATGAGGATCACAGAAGCCTCGGTCAGAACACGACATTCTGTGGGTCATCTGTAAGGATTTAGAGGCGAATGGCAGAAGTATGTTGGCAAAAACTAAAAATACAGATTTGTGGTTTTGGACTGTATATCCCATAATTCTGGGAAGTACATTCCAAAATCACAATACTGTATGCACACCCCTAGCAAAACTGTCTTGAGTATGTTGTCTGTATTAAACAGTAAGAGTTACACAAAACTTAAGAGGCTACCTTCCACCATGTTGGACATGGGGCTTGATATTTTCCACTCTCATTAGTATAGCTTCTTCAAGATCCCAGTCAGACATGCTCTAATAAAAGACCCTGAGATAAACTGCTTAGAGGACCCCCTACATACCACATACCTGTTACTGGGGGCCCAATGAGAAATTATACAGCAAAAGAAGTTATAGAAATCCATGTATATATAGCCAGGTGATTCTCTTCGTAATTGACATACTGTATGTGACTTTACAGAGCTGAAAATCTACATACTTTGTGGCTCCAAAGGAATGAAATAGCTTGTTTACCAGACTCCATTTGTAACCTAAAGAACCTGAGCACCCTCGTCCTCACCAGCAACAAATTACAAGATATTCCTGCTTGCATGAAAGACATGCCAAACCTGAGGTGAGAAGAAAGCCACTGCAATAACCGGAGAGGTTATTGCCCTGGACAGTGCACACAGTCATGTTGCTCATGACTGCTACCTATAGTTCTTGGCAGCTCTCTGTGATTCACCTTGTTCAGCTGTCATAAGCTAAGAGTATTGTATAATATCTGCTTTATGTGAACTGAGTGGTGGCATGCAAAGTTGAGGCTTCTATTAATGATTAATTATGAATTTCCATAAACCAGTGTTTTTGAATGGTAGTGCAAGATACAGGTGTGTTCAAGGTGTGCCTTGAAAAATTAAGCCATGAAGTTGTATTTTCCATTATTTTAGCCCTTCAGATCAGGGAGGTCAAATTGAACACCCCCATCCCAACAGGCATGTAGGGAATAATTAATAATTCCCAGGGAACCATTACTTGGGAATCAGCCCCAGGCAACAGTTGAATTGAATACCAGGGAGAGATCTCTGATAGAATGAAACAGACAGAAATTGAACACCCCCATCCCAACAGGCACAGATGACATTGGGCACTGACATAATTATACATCTAGAGTTCCTGACACACTCAGAATTACATGAATTCAAAAGGATGACCACTGTCTAGTTCTCAGCTAAATACATTTATTCAAGATAAAAATAATGCAGATTTTGGTGCCTATATATGCCTAGTTATGCCTGTTCATATTCTTTGTCCATAGACCTGATCAAAAAGGGAGAGAAGTTGGGTTTTTCACATAAAGGTGCTGTCAAACATAGTTTCAGAACCTGACTTGCTGAAGGATTAACCACACAGTTTAAGGTTTGGATGTAAGGCTAAAAAGTGACTAATTTAAAATGTAAACTTGATATCTTTCCCAGCACAGTGTAGGAAGTGAGAGGGAAAAGCCTGTGGTCTACACAAGTTCATCCCCAAAACACAAAATCACAGTTAAGCATTATGTGTGAACTAGGCCAAAATCAGTGAGTTTTGAAGAGCAAACAATGCCTCCAAAAGTACCACTGAGGTGATCAGGGCTGCAAACAATTTTGGTTGAGGTGATGGACTATAGTGGTTAAAATAGCCAACCTATTAGTTAACTTGTTTTTTTTATGCAGAGCAATTTCATGAACATGTTACTCTAATAATGTATCACTAGATTTGTCAACTTCAGAGACAACCCACTGGAGCTTCAAGTAACGCTTCCACCTTGTGAGAATCCTGAAGAGGAAGAGGAACGGGAACTGTATGGAATTCAGTTTATGCATGCATACATTCAGGAATCGCTCAGCAGAAAAGGTACCATGCCTTCATACTCTTCACAGTTAAAAGTGAAAGCAAATATGACCTCAGTGAAGAAAAAATCCTCTGACTTTCAAAGGGACGTGACCTTTACCTTTTATTATTTTCCATTTGAAAGCCAGAGGCACTTTCCCTGAGATGTCAACATTTATTCTAAAGCAGGTTGTGGGAACAAGGCCCTGGCTTAAATCCAGTGGTTAATTCCAGCCAAAATGTTAATTGAAACAGTGGGACTTCTGTAACCTATTGATTTAGATAACCACCTAGCAGATATCCTTCAATTAGTATTCCTGCATTGAGCAGGGGATTGGACTCAATGGCCTTATAGGCCCCTTCCAATTTCATGATTCTATGACTATGATTTAGTAAGCCTGATTCGTTCAGTTGATCTGCTCTAGTTCAAAAGTAACAAATGGACTGCATTTGTTGTTTTAGTTCTTATATCTTCCTTGAAAATAAGATTCCCCAAAGGAATCCAGCTATGAAAGCCTATAAGCCAGCCTTCCCCAACAGGGTGCCTTCCAGATGTGTTAGAGAATGTCTGAGGAAGAACCACCTCTGGAGGCCAGATGCCAGCCTTCAATGTGCTAGAGATTCACCTTCTATTTTAAAGTTTAATTTTTCACCCTCTTGTTTTAAATACAAAAATCATCTAGAATGATAACTCCTTTTGTATCATCTGCAAATAGCCTGGCTAGCCAAGGCAAATTAGGGTCATGCATTTATATGTTTAATTGTATACACTTTTTTGAAAAGTACTTAATGCCAGGAATAAACAACAAATCCCAGAAGCCTCTCTTCTGCACTCAGGTCTCTGATGTTGGTAGTTCTGGAGAAAGAGGCTACAAGGTATTACAATGGTGTTGTTTGTTGCATTTTCTTCTGGAAAGCTGAGTGAAGAGGGCAATCAAAGTGAGAGGCAGAGTGCATAAGGAGCACGCCTTGCCCTTTCCCCAATAAAACTCTGACACCCCCCCTCCCCCAAGATTAGTTGCAGGTTCAGAAGGCATGGTTTTCTTCAGATCTGTGAAGCAATTGAAAGCTGTCTGCTCTAGAGCCAGTTCAGAACAGAGACACTGAGCTTGCTATGTTAAAAGAAAAACATGTATACATGGAAAAGCAAACTATGTATGAAATTTAATGAGTGATTTTGCCCACAGTCCTTCCTAACAATGAATCAAAAATTCTGGTCTGGCTTTTCAAAAGCAGTTTTAAAGCACCTTAAAAAGAAGACATACAAAAAGTATAGCAAACAAGGTAGAAAAGACTAAAAATCCATTGCTATTAAACTTGTGTAAGTGTAAATTCAATTTTTTTTGAGATATTGATCGATTCCATTACACTTCTCTTTCAGAAAACAGTACTACATCTGCTGGTACTGGCAAATGAAAAAGTATGCATGCCAGTCTAAGTTTTCATTATTACTGAAAGATTATTATAGTTCTTCCAAGCAGAGAAAACCTGAACAGCATCCATACCCACTTCAACAAAGAGGCTGAGGTCAACACCAACACCAAGGAATACTCTTCTTCTGGTTCCAGAGGATCACCAAAAAGCCAACACCAGTCTGGTAGCCTCAATGCTGGATCTCTCATTTCAACAGTCTGTGTTTTTAACCATTTAAAGTCCTCTCACTTTTAAGCAGTTGAAGGAGGTGCTGAAGAAGGCCAACAGGGCACAGCTGTCAAGAGTACATTTTCTAAGGATACACTGAGGTCTGTATAGTGCTGCAACACAGCTTCGTATCCTCTTTTCTGTAGATATTCAATCCGACCATAGTCTATCAGCAGCTTGCAAAGGTAGCCTATCTGCTTTCTTTCTTCAGTGGTTAGCACCCTACAAACAACGGAGGAGAGATTTCAGAATATACCAACATTCACATTCTATGGAATCAAAGACATCAGATTTAGCCCATTTAAATGTAAGAAGACAACTAGAATTTTCCTAATCTACATACTGGATGCATACAATCAGAACATACTTATTTTCAGGAATGTATGAAGAATGATCACCTACCCTTGAATACTATCCAAATTGCATTCGGCACTACTGTCATCTTGGTCATGCTCTTCTACTTCATTGCTTTGTTCTTCATTCTTCGTGTCAGCTATGGAGGCTTTTCTTGAAGTGTATCTCATTCCACAAGTAGCCCAGCTTGTCAATCTTTTTAAATAATTAAATTCCATTGCCCCAAGTCCTACTCTTCTAAAGAACTCTTGGCCTACATAATGTTCCCACTCACATCTGTGATGGCAACATAGCGCAATAACAATTCCAGCTACACAGCATCTGTTCTCAGTTATAGCCATCCTACATGATTCATCAGAATTATTGGGTGGTATGGTGGTTCCATTGGTCTTCAAGCGTTTTGGTGCAGGATCTTCCTTTCTGTTGTCACCGAGCTGTGTGTAGGTTTCAAGTAAACATTTCAAAGCAAGATCTGTAGAGACATAGGAATTGTTTGAATGGCAGCTTTTTTGCAAGCAGTAACAGATGTATGTAGCTCTATGGAATGTCGGCACAACACAATCAGGTGGTGAGGGTGCAGCCCAACAGTATCTGGAGTCCAACAACATTTCTCAGAGCTTGTTATAAATCAAGAAAAGGCCATGAAATACTTACTTTTGACTTACTCAATAACAAGTCAAAGTCAGCACTAAGTCACACTATCTCTGGGGCTTGTATAACTGCAAGCAAAACATGTTTCTCAACAGCGTTGCTTCATTCACAGGAGCCTATGCTTTGCTAAACTCCAGCCCCCATTGGCCCTATCCAGCAAAGTCAATGGTCATGAGTGATGGGAATAACAGTATAATAACATCAGAGTGGCCATATGTTCCCCCATCCTTGAACCTTCACTACCAATTTGTTCTTGTTATTAGGTGCTGTCTGATTGCTTGTGACTTTTGATGGCCCTAACAGGTTGTTCAAGGTGTAGTCTACTGTGGCCACCCCACAATCAATGTTCCATGGAACAGAGATTTGAACCTGACACCATCTGTTTCACCGCACTGGCTCTCACTACCACTAATTATAAAATGTGTACCTGTTGCAGAACCACATACATGCTTTCCAATTCCTACCACAGGGAGCTTCTCTTTCACAAGGGCAGGCACTTTATCTGAAAGAAAGAATAGAGAGAAAATAAACCAGCCTGAATTACAACATTCAAACTGCATCTTTTTTAATCGTATAGGTATGGATTACTATATCCAGCAATCAGAGGCCTTGATATTACTTACAAATTAACAGGCTACAGAGTGTTCACAGATACTGCAACAGAAGGTAAAGAGCGCAGAACAGTATTTCATAGTGGTGGCGTTTCAAAGCTGAGCGACAGTGGTATATCTGACAATGAATAGCCACTGCTCTGCCATTGCGCTCATTCTTAATTGAGATCAACAGGACTGATCCTGCCCTTAAGTGCTGTTCTAACATTACTGTTATTTTCCACTGATTTCCCCTGAATTAAAAAACAGCATTTAATTAACATTTAGGTAAATGAATTATCAACTTACTTAAACACAAGTGCTGGATATCAACTTGAAGCCTTTCAAAACAATGTTTTCTGTGCTTACCATCTACCTATGTTAACAAAACAACACATTACTACAAAATACAGGCTACTTAAGCTACTTAGCAAGTTCTGATCCTGTTTTACAATTAAAAACAAAGATGCTCAGCAGCAAAAACAATTTATTATTGTGGTGGTCCTTTGGCAAGGCATTAAAACAGCGAGGGCAAAGTGTGGCCCTCCAGAAGCTCTTGAACTATAACTCCCAGCAGTCCTAGCCATGCAACCAATGATGAGGGATGCTGGGAGCTGCAGTCTGCCAGTATCTGTAGGGTCACACTTGGCCTTCCGTTTAAAAACCAAATGGCAGTAATCTTAGCTTTGTAAAATATTTTAATGAATTATTTTAAAAAATGAAAACAGTAACAACTGACAAGATCACAATCCAAAAAAACAAAACAAAAAATAACTTACATATTAAAATCACTTTTTCTGGTAATTAGTCAAATTTTATTTTGTTAAATGAATTAAAACAACATCCTTCCCTGTGTTTCTAGTGGTTATGTTTCTATTGTCATTTATACTTCTTACATATGCAACAGAAGATCACCAAATCACAGAAAATTAGATCTATATTTTCAGGCGTGAATGTTGACGTAACAGAAAAAGTGGCAATTTTCTTGAAATTGATTATCCAGAGAAGAAGGATGCTACTCGAATTTAGTCAACTAGGTCTTATTTGATCATTGGTCTTACACTTGCTTATGTATCTTCCACTGTACATCTTAGCTTGTTGGATTTTATTTATTTATAAGCTCCCCATTGATTATTTTGTTTTATTTTATTATGCCAATAAATGGATGATTATGACAACCACCAAATCATAACACAAGTATCCATCTCTGCTTGTTCTTTCACTGTCAAACTTACTGCATTAGGTTCTCTTAATAACCAAACTTTTTTGCCATTTCTCAGTAGTAGAAGCCAAGCGCCCCTTTCACTCCCCACATACTTCTATTGAAGAGTTACACTTCCACATATATGGATATACCACCTAAACTCTAACATTAGAATTTTCTTAATACTGTTGAAACTGACTTTCCTGGTTACTTATGAGTGAAGATTTATTGAGTATAGCATAATAACAAAGCCACAGAAAAGGTTATAGTAATATCCTACCTTGAACCTGGTAGTTGCTCTTTCAACTAGAAGAAAGTGAACATCCTGAGCATCTTCTAAGGCTATATCCACCCAATGGGACAACTTTCCCCGGCCAGCTCCAAATTCAACAAAACAGTTCCCTGGTCCAAGCAAATGCAGTCTTTCCATGTTACCTAATATAGAAGCCTACAGATGTCAAAAGATGATTTTACAATCAAAGCAAACATATTATCTGAAATAACTGCAAGAGTAGTACTGTAGTTTTGATTCTTTCAGCCCACTAGTTAGCTCAGTGAATTAGGTATCTGATTCCCAAGAGGAGAGCCAGCCTGCGTAGCCTTGGTCAAACTGCATAGCATCAGGGCACCCCCAGAAGAAGGAATTGGTAAACCAATTCAAGTAATCTCTACCTAAAAATACTGGAAAGGGTTGCCATAAGTCAGAATCAGTGTGAAGGCACACTACTGCTGTTGCCGTCATCAGACATACTGTATAATTGACATCAAATTTATCCTGACTTATGGCAACCCCCCAGGATTTTCTAGGCACAAAGTATTCAAAAGTGGTTTACTAGTCCCTCCTTCTGATGGTGCTCCAGAACCATGTGGCCTCTGCAAGACAGTACAGATGGCTGGCTATATAATCCTATCAGCCACACATTCAACAGGTAGTCTCAACTGGTTCATCTCCAAGGGGGCACAATAGGGGTTCAAACCTCCAGCCCTTGGCTCAGCACCCAAACACTCCAACTCACCAAACTATGGGACATATTGCTGGGGGGGGGAAGGTTTGGCTTCTGTGGTTCCTGTCTACATGGACATCTCTTTACTTCTTTAGCAAAGGGCACTTGGCTTTGAAGATGAAATAATTGCATTATTATCCTCACACATCCTTTTTATCACTACTTACTCAATACTATGAGAATTTATTGTACCATCTATTGTTAAAATTTATTTTGTAATTTCATGCGAGATCTCAGATCATATTATGCACAATGCAGATTTGGGATGGAACGTAGCTTCAGTGACACTTTCAAGAAATCTTCAGTTAATGTTCCCCATACTTAGTCTGGCAGCATTCATTCATTCATTCAAATAAATACCCTTTGAAAGGAAACTACTGGATTTAAAAAAACAACAACTAAAAACCAACAGAAAACTTTGCTGAAGATAGTATCTTCTTCAAAGAATTGTACAACCTGTTGTTTCAAATGCTTAGAAGCTGTTTCTCCATTCCTGGGATCATTCAGAGCTTCCTTTAAGGCAGGATGAGAGAGGATTTGATCTTGAAGTACATAATTTATACCTGTAAATGAAATGTAGTTATTCCAGTGAGCTCCAACTGCACTGCTGCCAGGGAAGGGAATGGAGAGGGAGCATGGGGAAAGGTATATACAGTAAGTACCAGGATGGAAAGAGACCAGTGAAGAAGAAAAGGCATGGGAGGAAAAGAGAAGTGGGAGTGGGAGCACAAGTACTTTAAGGGGTCAGGGAATAAGGAGTTCTAGCCCTTGTGGAACTGGGTATAAAAATAAGAACAAACTCACTGTCAGCTGCTGTTCTTAACTTCCTAATTAAGTCTTCTAACTCTTCTGTAGACAGTGAAGAAATTGGAAGCTGCTGCAGTGTACACAAAATACATACACAAAGGGTTTTGTTGTTGTTCATGCAACAAAAGGTGGCATAGGTTATAAAAGACAAGAAAAATAAGGCTCAAATAAACAATATCAAGTGTGCTCTGATTTAAATTATATGCTGTTGCCCATAAATTAGTGCTAATCACACAAATAATAATAATTGTGTGCCATCAAGTCAATTCTGACTTATAGCAACTCCTTTCTGGGATCTCTAAGTAGAGAATACTCAGAGGTGGTTTATCATTTCCTTCTACTGTGGCCATCTTGGCACTCTGCAGCTTGACCAAGGCCACAAAGGCACTTCTGGGATGCACAGTGGGGAATCAAACTCCTAACCACACACCTAATTCCCACTGAGCTATCCAGCCAGCTCAATCGTACAAAAGAGTTGACCATACAAGCATCCATTGGGTATGATGTTCAAAATCTCTTAAATTAGAAAGTGCAGTTACTAAATGATGGAGATAAATAGTTATATAGTTATAACTAATAATATATTAATACAACTATTTACCCAGCCCTTAGTTATCTCAGCCCAAAATGTCAGTGAAAAGTTGCCTATGCTTTCTTGCTGAAAAATTGTGGTTACCACTCAGACAAATTTGCAAGTTCAAGTTACTAATGCAGCATATACAAGCTATTTTTCTAGCACCAAAGAACATGCTGAATTCACAGATGAACTCCGCTCCCTTATTAATATCTTGCAATTATCATCATAGATATGACAGAATCACTCACCTGTTCTTCAGACAAAACAGCTGTATCTTTTATTCCTGCATTAATATCTTGAACAAAATATACCTTTTAAGTAAAAACAAAACAAAACAGAACACTAGTTATGATTTGACAGCAGCAAAGTAATCTTGAATCTGTTTACATGGATTCACCTATGCTTTAATTAAAATGTTCAACTAAGAAGTTCTTTTTGGCTTTCCTGACATTTGATGAAGCCGTGACATATGGCAATCATAATGGTGGTGTTAATTATAATAATACTCAGTAAAATACCCATGCAAAGATTAATCATAGAGGTAGTTTATTTTCTGTAGCTAGAAGAAGCCTGACACGAGAAAACAAATGCTGGAATACTGTATGTTGCTGTATAACAAAGTTACACAGCAGTAACTTTGCCAGGTGTTATAGCCAGACAACAAGGACTGTGTGAATTGACTGTGCAATCATTGCCTGCTTCCTGTTGCGACCAACTGCACAATGTGCCTGCAGAAGTGCTTTGTGAACATCATTTCTTCCTTGGTCCTATTGCAACTTCTGCTAGTGTAATACTGAGTTACACAAACATTGTTACTTGATAGGATTTCAGCCATGAATGCTTATTTTACTTTGCTAGTTGGCTAAATGACTTTTTTAAAATTAACACTGCTTTCAAACCGTTCTTCTTTACCTTTCTTTTGTCAGTGCCTTTCCTTCTGTTTTTCTCTTTTTGAAATCTTACACACAGCTTTTTACCATTTCTCGCTTAGAGAATCCTGTTTCTAATATTCATATTAATTAAATATGCCATCCAGGTTTTAATCAACGTCATCCCCAGGATAGGCAACATGCAGCCGTACAGATGTTTTGGACTACAGCTCCTACAGTTCCTGCCCATAGGCTATGCAAGCTGGGGCTTATAGGAGTTGCAGCCCAAAGCACCTGGAGGACATCATAAAGTATCACCAACATATAGGGTTGCCATGGATTCTTTTGCAGAGGATAGCCTTCTATCTGAAGTATTCCCTGTGTGAAATACAGTGAATGACAAGTTTGATTTAAAGGTAAAGAAGCGTAAGGAAGAGTATTGGGGTCTCAATGTTGCCATGCTACAGTTAACAACTGGACAGCAGACTTAGCCAGCACAGATGTCACATGACCACAGACTTCTATACTCAGCTAAAATGTATTCACGTTATAACAATCATTTCTAATTTTGCATGTTTGTTATTTTTGTTGAATTGGCTTAAAGAGACGCTAACAGCAGTTTTCAAGGTACGTGAAATATTTAAGGAGCAGTTTTATCAATTCCACACTCTACCAGTAAGTTTTGATAACTGAGCAGAGATTCAAACCCAGCTCATTTGAGTCCTAATCCATTTTCTATCCACTACCACACACTGGGTATGTTTTTACATCTACTTATGAGTATCTGTATGTAAGTAAGTACACAAATAGTATCCCCTCTCTCTATTTTCATGATGTTTGTCATCTTACCCACAAAAGCTGCACATGAATTCTCTCTCATTGGAATACTTGCAAAAGAGAAGGCTGCACAAAGCAGCTCTGTTTGGATTATTCCTTTTAAAGATGACTTTAATTCCACCAAGCAGTTCCAAGTACACTTACAGGTTTTGGTTTCTCTCTTGAATTGCACCTTTTTAAATGTTTTTGTAGTTGATCTTCATATACAGTGCTAAAATCAGAAACAGAGATAAGACTAGTAACCATTTCCCCCTTCTCCTTTTTTCTCTATACAAACATACATTTAATCACCACAGTCACCCATCTCCTAAAAAGGACAAAAGCTGATCCCACAGCTATAAATACTCAACTATCCAAACAAACTGCACCAGAGCACAGACAGAGTTGTGACTCCTGTCCTCTGAAGATGCCAGCCACAGAGACTAGCTAAAGGTTAGAAAGAACAACCTTTAGAACATGGCCAAAGAACCCGAAAAACCCACAACAACCATCAGATTCCTGCCGTGAAAGCCTTCGAGAATACATATATTTAATGTACTTACTGTTTTGGATCCAAAGGGCAGAGAATTCTTTTCCTGTTTTCCTCTTCCTAGTAAAAAAAAAGTTTCACATTTAAATCAGAGTAGGTAACCTTACTTTTAAAAAATGTTCTGATGTTTAAAGCCATTAGCTTGAGTAATGCCACAATCTGGTTATAGTTCCACAGCTTTTACTAACAGCAAGAATGTGACTACAAACTGTATAATAAAGTTTAAAAGAATGAAGAAGGGAGGACTGAAACCTGCATGAACTAAACAGATAAAGTCTTTCCTCAGCAAGAAAATATAAGCAGGAGAGGCATACCTATTTAATTTGTACCTTTTCTTAAAAGGGACCAAACAAAAGTTTGTAAAACATAGCATGCTTCTGATTGTGTGCACAGTATCTTTCTCTCATCGCTGTCTAAATCTGGAAATGAGTGTAATCTTCATGTATTGGGTGATTTGCAGCTCGTTCAAACAAAACCAATTCATTCCTTATAAAATTAAAGTTTTCCTTGCGCCATGTTGCCCAAAGGAATAAAAAGGCTGGAGTAGAACTCCTCCACTCTCTCCCTCTTCGCTTCGGATGCTTGTGTGTATTCTGTGCCATCAAGTCGGAATCGACTACTGTCGATCCTAACTCGGCTTTCGAGGTAAATGAAATATTTAAGACGTGATTTTCCCAGTTCCAACCCTTGAGTTTCCAAGGGGGGCTTCGAACTCTGCTCTCCAGGGTCCTGGTCCATCACTCTGGCCACTATATCCCACTGGGACTTCAGCTTCGCCTAGCCGGCCTCAATAATACTGTACCTCGTGGGCGCCGTGTTCCCCACAGAAGCGCTTGCCCTGGGCCGGCACCATCTTGCAGAAGCGTCTCTTTCGCTCCAAGTAAAAGGCGCATCGCCCCGGCTCAGGGGATACGGCCACGGAGGCGCCCGCCGCCATCTTGCTCCGGTGTCACTCCAGCACCTCCTCCTTCCGCCACTCGCGCCGGCCCTGCCCCCCCAATTCCTCCTTCGCCGCGGGAACCCGGCGCCAAACTCTACTGTTCACCAAGGGGAACCGGTTTAACCAGTTGTTGGCACTAATGCAGGAGGAACAGTGCAGACAGCGGGGAGAATGGCTGCCTCTCCCTTTTTTCTTTACAGCGAACGTGCAAAAACAACTAAGTAAAAAGCTAGAAAGCGATGGGTTTCGAGATCTTGGCGATTTCAGTACTCTCTCTCT